AAACCATGTCAAAGTGGTGGATGTCTAAGAATATGTAGAATTATGGTCTACTTCAACATTAGTACTGCCTTAATAATAGACCTAATCCTTAAATTGTAGATTTGTTATGATTTAACTGTCTAATCTATAAGACCTTAAGTGGAAGTCACATCATTGTCTACCCTGATTCATCTCGTTGTTACAATCATCAATACATGATGGAAAACACATTTAAACTGGAGATAGAACTATATATTTAGTATGGATAAAAATAATGTTACATAAGTAAGACCACGCCCGCAAGGCCAAGCCATGCCATCCGATCAATTCTAATCAATTCAACGCACGGTTCCCACCTTCTCCATAGTTAGGTTTTTCTCCGCTTTAGATATTGAATATCTGTTTTCCCCGCTGTTGCGTGTCCAGTTTTGAGGATTGTGTGGTTCAAGCCCAATGCCACTACAAATATATTTGATGGATTCGCCTATCAATTACACTTTGGAGCCAGGACTACTACTTAGTTTCTTTGGAACACTCGGGAAAACATTTAAAAATAAATTTCTTGTTGTTACGGATAGTTCCATATGGAATACTGCAATTTGCTGATTTGAAAAACCTGGTGCAACGTGAATTGTGACCATCCTATGCCAACACGGACATAGGCGAAATTCTACTAAACACATTTTTAATTGCTTTTCTCGTTGCTAACATGGAAGGCAGAAAATAAAAATACATATGTGATATGTTTCCAGATGACGAGACTCAGAATATACATTTCTTAAAGCCACGTTGCGTTTCATTTAAGATGCTGTTTTTTGATAAGATTCTCCATCTGGTCGCTCACCAACTTTTTGCAACACTTTTAACAACATAATAAACAGTGACAAGCCTTAGTCTTTTCTGTTCCTTCTCTTGAAAATTGGAAAGAGGACTACTCTTTCTATTGCTTTGATAACTACTTGAAGTGAAAAAATGTTGACACAGACTGCTTAGTTGATGAAAGAGGGTCTGTTCAGCTGTTCATTATCGTAGGATATTGTATCGTCGTGCTCATTGACTCGCTGGATCTCAGTCTAAATAACTTTCTTGACACTAGCTGAGTTGTTACTTTGTTAACGCTCCTATTATTGTCGACTTTAGAGCATCGGTTAAAAACCGCTAGTTCGGTGTCTGATTCCCCTGTTTGTCAAAGTGCGCTGTGGAGTATTAGAAGGCTTCTGACTTGGGCAGAGTCACTCAGTGTTTGTCACGAAATACTGTTTCAGATGAAAGAGTATAATCCACAACTCTGTGTACATAATGGTTAGATCACTCCTGAATGATTGCTCCTAGCTTTGAGATTACTTGAAGTTTTGTATATTCCCACCACTGTTATCAGGTGGAAATGAGCTACATGTGACCTAGACTATTCTGTAGGCTGAAAATTATGATTAGATCACCCTTCACTGTTTGGTCATCATCATGCCGAAACAATGAATAAGGTTATCCCCGACATCTGTGCATATGAATTAGAAGTAGATACAGGCCCATTTTTCTTCATATGGAAACCTAAATGAATAACAGTTGATTGGGATTACTATGGGCTAACGGTAAATAGCACTTTTATTGATTAAATTTTAAACATGATTCTAGAATTTCGGAGTGGACAAGCAACACAACATCTGAATAGGGACTTCATCTCTAAGCGTTGTGGTAAATATAATTTCATAAAATATGCGGCTAGGTTAGCGCTGGTACTTACTCATTTCCGCTGATCGAATGATCTGAGATGAAAGTTTGAAGTCTTACATCTATATGATCTACATAATCTACTACATACATATGGTTCTCGTACGCATTTTTTCCCAACCTACCAAACCATCGAAATTCACCCTTGTTCTCTCTCCATTCCACTGAATCCTTTTTCCACAGTTTTTATACTGCACACTATCAGTCACCTAATCAGCAACGTGATGGCTGCCAGTTTCAACAACCCTATTTTCCTGATACTAACTCATCTCTTAGGTCCAAGATTCTTCAACCCCAAAATAACCGTCGAATTCACTGAGATTAGTGAAGTTGAGTGGCTAATCTACTTTTATTGAATGTTTCCGAGATTTTGGTAATGCATTATGACATTTAGAAAGTGTGAAAGCTAATGGGTTAATAATTTTCTGACGCACAGAAATTTAGTATATAGTAGTACAGGTTTCCATAGGTATACAATCCACAGCGAAACTGTAGCCCGTAACATTTCTTTACTCGAGTACTTCCAAAACCAGTTTATTCAAAAGTGAAACGTTAATGACAAGAAAAAATTCTATCTGAAAACTCAGCAAACTATTATTTAACAGAGGAAGCAGTTGAAAGCAATTAGCAACAACGCTGCCGTAAGATCAAAACAATGTGAAAACTGGAATCAAAAGCTTGTAGACTAGGTTTTCGAATGGGGTGAAATATTGAGCTTTGAATTGTTGGTGTTTATTGGCTTGCCGCTGTGGTCACTACTTGACGTTTGGGCGGATTGTCATCCAACTTTTTCTTGGTGATTTGTATCAGTTAGGCGGAGTTTCGAGTTTTCTTTATTATAATTAAATCGTAGTAAAGTAACGTTTTTATGGTCTGAGTGTGTTTCAGTGAACGGAGTTCTCTGAGTTTGTATAATTGATGATTTTCTGGATTTGCTTTCTAAGTATGCTAGTTCGTCTGTGACCTTATTCAAATGATATTCACCCATTGGAAGTTTTGTAGCAGCCTGGATAGAAAGATGTTGTTCTTTGGACCTTTGTTCGCCGTAATGTTCCTCGATTTTCGTTGTGGAGCCACTAGGGGAGATTAAGAATTATCCTTGCCCAGTGGTTAAATATCTTCTCTTAAATATAGTTATTACAAGCTATTTGCGTGGTATTGGGACGTCTTTGTAGAACATTGGTGTCATCTCAACACTAATTCACAGTGTACGGAGTAAATAGATTGTACTGAAGGAATAGTAACTCTAATTCCCATTTTGTCGTGGTTTCGGTCGTATGTACTTCCGTGTTTCTCCATCCTGATATCGTTTAAGAGATCTGGTTATGCCTTTCACTAGATAAAACTTGTTCATTGAGTAGCCTGAGTTTGTGTTGCTCCCGCACGATGTTTTCGGATTAAAGAGTTAAAGGGATAGCACGAAACTAACACCGACGTGTATACATTAACTAAAGCAGTAGGTGTTTGTAGATTCATACCGTTAAAGATCTTAAACATTGAAGTAACTACCTATCTTTTGAGACGGCTATTTAGGAAATTCTGAGATTGTTCTCTACATCCAAACATCGACAGGTGTTTTAAGGTCAGTGGATGAAGTAAAAATTCGGTCGCATAGCATTTTGTAAAACTTTATCCACAAAACTCTGAGGGTAACCTTTACTCAGTTTTACTTACTTCTTGGGTGTCCTCGATGCATGACAAATAGCCTCATGATAATTATATGGAATAACCTTTCCAGCACCGTATTTCGATACGTTAGCAGCAACAAAAGTATTTAATCGTAGAACAATTGAAAAACTGACACAGATTGACCCCTAAGCTGCTGATCAACTCCAAATCTTACACGCAAAAAGTAGGTTGGAGCTGCGAACTTGATATTTTACGTTTTATGATATCGAAACGGAAAGAAATAAAAGGTCCATAAGTCAGCAAACATTTCGTCAGAGTTAGGAGTTTGGAGACGTTCCAATTTGTTGGGAATATTTTTGTGTCAAACAAATCATTTGTCTTTGATTTCTTTCTTGTACGGAATCTTATTTGATTTATATGGCTTACCAACTAAAAAAACTAAGTTTTAGCTGGTAAAGAAAAGACTTGATAACAGTCGGTATTCAGTAGCTGTATCAGAGTAATTTACGTTCCTCCATTTGTCAATAAAACCCATTGTAGTAGTTTAAAACTCATTTTAAATCAAAGCCATTCGAAGAACATATGTTTTGCTCTAATCACACAGACGTTTTAGTGGAAGTAGTACGTGACAATCTTGTTTCAGTGAATATAACCCCTCTTTATTTTTTTGTGTGATTATATCAAGAGAAGAAACATAGACCATTTTAGTAAATTGTATTCACAGTTTTGAGATATGCACGAGTTATGAGCTTAGTCTGTTGTTTCTCAGTGGAACTGAACTTAAGAGTTTGCACCATAGGCAGGATATCATTATTCACTGGCTTGTTTGGTCTGACGAATGCCACTTAAAAATAAAAAGTACTGGCATTTACTAAGTATAGAATAATGAATGTTGTTATTAGACGCTATGTTGTAACTCGCATATCTCTCCAACTTTAGGTTTTATGTGGTCTGGTTCCAAGTTAATTAAAAAATAAAAGCCAGAACTGAAGTACATGAAGCAGGGTTAGAACTAAAAACTTATTAAAGTCGGACACCTTAAGCAGTAAGCCGCCGTTCCATATAGATCATATTAATGCTTTCAAAGGGGCATTTGATAACATATACAGCTAAATGGTGGTTTCCGTATTTTGTTTCTCAGCGTTTTTTTGTTTACTTTGCTTTATCCAGTTATCGTTTTCGTGAGGAACAAAACCTTATCGCTTCATTTTTACGGTAATTTATTTCCTACTCAGATGAGTGTAGTTATAGAAACAGAATAAGTGACAATTCATGTCGCTGCATACATGTGCTTGATCCTACGTTGTAGCTGACTGACTGACATGTCTCTGACACATACATGTACTGTTTCATATTTTGAGATTATTGTGCAGCCCTTGTTCATTTACCATTTTAAGTCATATCCACCTATTTACTGATCCCACATTGTTTGTGACTAACTTCCAAATGCTATACGCCTTTTACCACATTTCTTACCCATTCTTATTACTTAATATTACAAGTCTTCCGACCCTTGTTTTCCCTCTTGGTAATACTCTCAAGTCAAGTAGCATGAATAATTGCTTTACTGCACTAGTTCTTTTGCTGTACTATTTAAAATATCGTTGATTCAACGCTTTTTGCACTAGTGGTCTACAGTTGGTCACGTAACTTTTTTATTTCAGATGCCGGCTCCAAAGCGGTTGCGAGAGTTGGTGAGAGACATTAGATCTGCTCGAACTGCTGCTGAAGAACGGGCAATTGTAAACAGAGAGTGTGCTTTAATTAGAGATAGTTTTCGGGAAGAAAATAACACTTACAGATGTCGTAATGTGGCCAAATTGTTATACATTCACATGTTGGGTTACCCAGCACATTTCGGTCAGGTAAATTTTTCAACTTATTCATTTGATGCTTTTCTGGTTATCTCTTAAAATTTACATTTAATATTTTAGTTACTTTATTTTATTAGCTACATGTGACGGGTTTTATTCATCTACATTTATGCAAGTAAGTCTGCGAGCACTATCCATTTATCACTAACAGTTGGTAATAACTCACTGAACATCTAGTTTATTTTATTTATGGAGAACCAATGAACGGGTGGAGTAACTAAAATTTTAAATGTGAAGACCTCGACATCTGAGGGAGAGCACGGAATACAATGGACAAATCAGAATCAATTAGACGATTTTGACTTCGCAGATGACCTAGCTAATCTGTCCCATACACACGAACAAATGCAAATGAAGATAACTAGTGTAGCAGCAGCCTCTGCATCAGTAGGTTTCAAGATACACAAAAGAAAAAGCAAGATCCTCAAATACAACACAGAGAACACCAACCCAATCATGCTTGATGGATAAACTCGGGGAGATGTGGAATCCTTCACGTACCTGGGAAGCATAATCAAGGAACAAGGAGGGTCTGATGCAGGATGGCAAGGATTGGCAAAGCAAGGGCCGTATTCCCACAATTGAAGAACATATGGAACCAAAAACAACTGTCAGCAAATGTCAAAGTCACAATCTTCAGTACGAACATCAAGACAGTCCTACTGTAAGAAGCTGAAAAGTGGAGAACTATAACAACTATCATCAAAGAGGTACTAGTATTTATAAACAATTTTCTTCGGAAGATACTCAATGTTCATTGGCCGGAAACCATCAGCAACTGCCTACTATGGGAGAGAATAAATCAGCTTCCAACTGAGGAGGGAATTAGAAAAAGACGTTGGAAGTGGATAGGATACACATTACGGAAATCACCAAATTGCACCACGAGATAGTCCCTAGCTTGGAATCCTGAAGAGAAACAAAAAGGAGGAAGACCAAAGAACACAGTGTCCAGATTTGGAAGCAGATATGAAGAGAATGAATATCAACTGGAAGGGATCACCAAGGACAGAGTTGGACGGAGAGTGGTGGTGGGCGATCACACTTGATGGATAAACTCGAGAAGAGGTGAAAACTTTCACTTATAGTCCTACTATATGAAGCTGAAGCTACAACCATCAACAAGAAGGTACAAATGTTTATAAATAGTTGTCTACGCAAGATACTCAACATCCATTGGTCGGATACTATCTGCAACATCATTCTGTGTGAGAGGACAAACTAGCTTCCAGCTGAGGGGGAAATTAGGAAAAGACTTGGAAGTGGATAGGACGTAAATTATGGAAATCACCAAACTGTATCACGTGGCAAGCGCCAACTTGGAATACTGAAGGGAAGCGGAAAAGAGGCAGGCCAAAGAACACGTTACGTCGGGAAATAGAAGCAAATATGGAAAGGATGAATAACAACTGGAAAGAGCTGGAAAGGATTATACAGGACAGGGTCGGGTGGAGAATGCTGTTGGGCTGCCTATACTTTTACACGAGGAGTAACAGGCGTAGGTAAGCATTAGCACTTAGTTGACTAGTGCTTGTGCTTTGAAATCTTGAAAATAGATATGTAAAGTCAAAAGTTTAATGCAGAATAAGTGATATATACCATGTGGTGTTAGTATCATATCCGACACATTCGTCTTAGCCAGGTTGTATGTTCAAACTCCGTTCCAACCTACTTCGGTTCGGGCAGCTGACTACTATCATCGGTCCTCACGCAAAAGCTTATTCAGTTAAGTACATAAATCTACATATAGACATTGAGTTATATTAAATGATTTTTATGAACCGTATTGTGTTTCTGTTATTTCTAACTTAAGTTTAATGGTTGATTTCGCATATATATATATATATATATATATATATATATATATATATATATATATATACTCTATCCGATTTCACTTGATTAATATGTGGATCTGTTCTCATTGTCTCAGCAACTGGCAGTCCAGTGATAAACAACTTGCGAATAAAAGGTAATGCAAGTTTGGAATAAAAACAGGATACAGTTTCCTTTTTGAAGATATCATTCTATTAATGCCTAAAACTTCCCTCAACTAGGACTACTCACTAAACTTAAAACTCTATTCTCTTTTCTTTGTTCCCATCAACTTGGTCAGTACATATTCCTCATGGATTTATGTTGATTCTCCTCGTCCAGTCCTCTTCGGTTCTGGTCTAAAATTTTAGGTGATAATAACGCTGGCTGGTAAAAGTTTGTCGCAATTTCGAACTCTGATCTGCTTACTTCGACTTAACAATCCTTGTATTATCACTATCACCCGCCAAAGTTTAGCCAGCCTTGACCTGGACTTAGACTATTGGGTTGATTTTTGTCAACATCCATCTTATGTAACGTAGTCGAAATTGTTCATCTATCAACCAAAGGACGAGTATACTGTGCAACAATTCGCTCTGTTGTGCTTTGCTAATGTGAAACGTACAGCTTCCTTTCATACCACGACACCATGTTGTCCACTGACCACAAAACTGGTCCCAGCGTCGACAAATAATACACGATGTAGACTTCACTGAGACGGCATTCGTAGAACATGCCCAAGCCCTCGAGATTGATGTTTCAAGATGGTGACACCAACTGAAGTATCTTCTCTATTCCTGGACACACGTAGCCGAACCTACGCATTACTGACATGGTGTTGCCATTGGATGTCAGATATTCTTTGTGGATAACGATGATCAAGTAAAGAGGGTCGTCTAACATCCTCAACTCGGAGAGGTTAGTTTTCACAACCACGACAGAAATACTCTCATCGACACATAAATCCGACCTTTTACAGCCAGACTAACGTCATGAAGGCACCAAAAATGACCCAGGTTGGCATAAACCACTCTGGCTCTCACCGTACGTGGATTGATCTCATCATTCACGCCACCACCAGCACTTAAACAGCTACCCTGATACACGAACTCAACTACATCTATCTGCTCACTACTAAGAGTGAATGCAGGTTAAGCGTCCTATCATTTTTGTAAAAGTACTTGGCACTTGGAAAATTCAAAGCATATACCTTACCTACAGGTGCTAATTGATGATATAGTGAGTCTTCATTGTCTGGGATGGCTTAGACATGCATTACAATATCAAACCGTCGCCAACCTCAACGCTCAGTGATAATTAACGAAGGAGTAGGTTGGAAGAAAGCTAGAGGCAGCCGAAAATGACCCAGGATCTGTCCACGAAGTCGCGGACTATTGGACTGTCTCATATGGGTAAGTACTGGTTTTCTGCTTAGGGTCCACGTGATTATCATAACTACTGGTTAGGTATTTTGGATGACTTGGTTCAGAGTCGTTTGCAATGACACTGGTGCATTCACTCTTTTTGATTCCTTAAATCCCAAGTTTCTTAATTATCTTAAAAATCTTTTCATTTCACAAATCTATACTTTCTTCCTGAATCGTATCTTTTGGAGCCCAATGTTTTCTATTATCTTTAAGTGTTACTACCTAAACTAAATTGGCATCTCACTGTTCTCATACGATGTCGCAACCGATATACATATGTGCCGGGTTCTATGTTAAAAACAGATGGGTTGTTTGCCAAATGGAGATCAAACTTTCTGTTTTCTTTATGTGCTGCCGTTCGTTTATATATTTTTCCGCGATCCCTTTGAAAATTCTCACCAATTATCCTTCATTTAGGTCTAAAATTTTTTAAGTGTTCACCACGTGATTTGAAGATATATGGTGTGTTTGGTAGTTTATATATGCTTTGAATGTGTTAAGAAATTTTGTGCTCTGACTACACTAGTCAGCCTGAATTTTCACCAGTCTTATTCTGGAAGTAATTCTCACTCAGTATCCTCAATTGTAGACATTTGGCATGAATGATAAACGTGGTTTCTTATGTAACTTTTTCTGTTCAAATCCTCCATCTGTTTTTTGTCAATTGATTGGTATTGTAGCTTTGATACATTATTGTAGTTAAGACCAGTTCATGAATGCATGCGTGGTTATCGAATGGCTTATTTTAACTCTCTCGCTATTGCGTAGAGATTTAAAATTACCGATTTACATTTGTTACCATGTTGTTTATAGCTCGAATGCTTAAAACTGGTTGCTTCTCCACGTTTCACCGATAAAAGAGTTGGTTATTTGGGCGCAATGCTTCTACTTGATGAACGAACTGATGTACACCTTCTTGTTACAAATTCCTTAAAAAGTGAGTTTTTCTGATACTTTTCTATAATAATTAAGCCAAAAATTGGTTTTAAAAGTGAATAGTAGTGTGTCAAACCTTATCTTGTAATGACTGAATTCCCATTGTTTTATCATAAAATAATTTCTTTACTTAGAATGTTGTTATCGTTGAAGCTAACGAGCCATGATTCAACGGTTACTTTAAATGTCTTATATTTGGATTAAGTACATCTAAAGAAGTTAATTACAAATTGTTAAAATTTAACTTGTTTTCTAAACCAACTATACGCTGTCAATATTTACTGCATTTTTGAATTCCACATCAACTCACTGATTCCGTAAGGTGTATCGTAGTTCTTTACATTATTCGTTTTTATGGATAAGGAGACCGTCAGATTTTCCATAACATTCCGTTTAGTATGTCAATGTTAAGAGTTCAGGAAAAGTTCAAAATGCAAGAAACGCAATATGATGCGAAAATCTATTTAAAATTTCAATACTCCTAGTGATCAACAATACTAAAAACAACCTTCATTGTTGATGGTTTCAGTGTGATGAGATACATAGCTAAAAATCCATTGGGTCTTAACTACGGCCATCAACTTCTGGATCAAATGGAAAGAAGTATTTTCTGGGATCAAAATTACCAATATTAGTTGACAACTAGCCCCACGATATCTGTCATGTATTGGACTTTTACCTTTTCATACTAATCTTAAACACGTTACTTTTCGATCATTGCTTTTCTTCCCAGAATATTCTTTTTTTGTTGAGTTATTGGAAACTAATAAAAGTAGAAAAGTGTATTGTATTCTTTTACTACTGCTTCAGTATATTGTTAGTGCCCATTATTTTGTTTGGGTCAATTGAGGCAGTTCATCAGATTTCAGCTTCATTCATTCACCTTCATCGGTGAATTTGAACAAAACAGGAGCGATAAATTTATCCGTAATTATTTTAAAACTATTGTTTTCGATTAAAAAATTTGCCACTATTTTGTTTTACGTTAGTGGGGTGCAAGTGACTTGTCCGCGGTGAATTTTAATATTTCTTTATGCCTACGTGAAACAATGTACGACGTAAAATGAATATTTCAGTTTTCTCACTGCAAAAATCATTTTAATAAAAAAACATTAGAGAATATCTGTGTGACTTTGCATTATAGAGTTTACTTTCCAACTTCAGTAAAGGATAACAAAGTAAAAATGTTAAATAACCCTTCTTGAAACATTTCTTTTTAAAAAGACCGATTACTGTAATTTCTATAAATGTAAATAGCGGTGAACATACGTTATTTCAGTTTCTCTCCATCGTCTTTGAAGCAATCGGTATAGTTCTTCGAAGAACAGTTCAGTTAATTTGACTGTTGACTATCGACCGGGCTGTCCTATTATCCATAGCCGGTGAAAAGTAATCCACCTACAGACAACAAGTTTAGCAAGCACCTCCAACGTCTGAAACACCGTAAACACCAGACTCAGACGACTTACTATTAACTCCGTTTAAGGATGGTGGCTAACATCTGATCACCGAACTGACTGAGTTCGCAAGGGTTTAGAAAACATTGCTCTAACATCCCAAAATGAAACAAACGTTACTCCTGTCTTCTATGGGACAATTGTTCAGGGATAAGTTTACTTTCAATGGCGTCCAAACTAATGTTCAAAACCCAATGGAAGTCTGAGTCGTGCGCAGCAGGCTGGCTTTCGTTCTGGTTGTGGATGTTATTAATCATATTTTTACACTAACAAATGTTAGGTCGTCGTCACACTTACTACAAGCCAACAATCCTTGCGTTTCTCAATATCAGGGTCGGCTACGATTCGTTGGACAGGACTGTACACTGGGATTTTCTGTTGAGGAAAGGTGTATCCGATACGGTTATTACCAGCTTGAAAGCTCTGTATGCAAACAGCTCAGGCAAAATGAGGACATATCACCTATCTCCATTGTTCATATTCAGTAATCGGGTTATACAAGATGGCAACACCGTGTTAGCAATGCTGAGGTTCGACAATGTGTATCCGGGATCAGTGATGACAATTTAGCCACACTAAAAAGACCCATTAGAACTGAATTGAGTAGCGAGAAAACCAAAAGTAAGTTCCAGGAACAACTGAGGTCACACTTAGGTAGTTCTGAAAACGAGGCTGACCCAGATGTTGCTTGGAAAGATATACGAGCAGCTGTGGAAACAGCATTGACATCTATCAGTGATTTAAACCACAGGGTTACAAAGAACCAATGGATTTCTTCAAGGTCTATTACACTGATGGATTCTCGCAAAGTCATCCCATCAGGTTCTGAACACAATGAAGAGCGTAAAGAAATCAGATCTAAGTTAAGCAAAAGTCTAAGAAACGACCGTGAGTAGTGTTGGGCAACGAAAGCAAAAGAGATGGAAAAGGCGGCGGCTATAGGGAACACAAGACAGCTGTACAGACTAATAAGAGAAACTGGAATTAATAAGTCAAGTGCAAGTCAGACTTTTTCGGAAAAAGATGTCACTTTCATCTGGTCCCAGTCCAGACGTATAGAACGATGGGCGGAACATTTTAGAGTACAGTTCAGCTGGCCTTCAGCTACTCAACAACTACCCTCCATTCCCAGACAGTGTGAATGGAACATTGAAGTAGGTCACCCAACTCTAGGTGAAGTTCAAAAGGCTATAGTTAATCTGAAACGAGGAAGGGCAGCTGGTCCAGATGGATTGGCTCCAGAGGTCTTTAAGGATGGTGGTTCAATTTTAGCTATTAGGTTGACTAATATTTTAGCTAAGATCTGCTAGTTAGACGTTATCCCATCTGACTGGTCACAATCACTGATCGTCCTAATATATAAGAGAGGGTTAAAATCATCCTGTGACAACCATAGAGGGATTAGTTTAACTAATATAGTATCTAAAATACTAGCCTCGATAATTATCAGACGCTTAACTAAGACTCGTGAACTGCAAACAAGAGAGAATCAAGCTGGCTTCAGACCTGGTCGTGGCTGCGTCGACCGCTTGTTCACCATTCGTCAGGTTCTAGAACATAGACATACTTACCGGCGTCCGACAATGGTGGTCTTTCTTGACTTACAAGTAGCATTTGACTCCGTAGACCACGAGATTCTGTGGCAGTGTCTGTCATTGAAAGGCGTACCTCATAAGTACATAAACCTTGTGAAGACTCTTTACTCGAACACTACTAGTCGAGTGAGAGCTTAAGGGAAACTGTCATCTGATTTTGCAACCTGGAGTGGTGTCCGTCAAGGCTGTCCACTTTCTCCATTTTTGTTTAGCTTCATCATAGACCTACTGATGGAAATAACATTCTCGTCTACTGAATTTCCAGGCATTGATCTCCTACCAGGAGGTCCACTTATCGACTTAGACTACGCAGATGACACAGTCCTGTTTGGTGAAGACGCTGATGAAATGCAGAGTCTTCTGGTAGCACTAAGCAACAATGCCAGAATGTTTGGAATGCGCTTCTCTCCCTCTAAATGCAAGTTGTTGCTTCAGGACTGGTCTGCGTCAACACCTGAACTAAGGATAGGGAGTGAAGTAGTCGAACGCGTTGACAACTTCACTTATCTTGGAAGTCTGATCAGCCTTAATGGGTTGGTGTCTGACGAAATCTCAGCACGGATTCGTAAAGCTCGCTTGGCTTTTGCCAACTTGCGTCACCTATGGCGAAGGCGAGATATCCGTCTATCAATAAAAGTACGAGTATACTGCGCGGCAGTCCGTTCTGTTTTACTTTACGGCAGCGAAACATGGCCATTAAGAGTAGAAGATACTCGTGAGCTATTAGTATTTGACCACAGATGCCTTAGAAATATTGCTGGCGTCTGCTGGGATCACCGGGTAAGTAATAGTGAGGTTAGACGCAGGGTATTAGGAAATGATGGTAAATCAGTTGATGAGGTTATGAATCTTCATCGACTGAGATGGCGGGTCCACGTGTTACGTATGCCTGAACACCGACTACCACGACGTGCAATGCTAACCGGTGTTGGAGATGGTTAGAAGAAAGTTAGGGGCGGCCAAACCAAAACGTGGCATCAGTGCTTGAAGTCACTAACTTCTAGTCTGAGGCATGTTGGTAGATGCAGACTACTTGGTTGGGGTCCGTGTGACTATCGTAACCAATGGTTGGAGACTCTTGGTGACATGGCTCAGAATCGATCACAATGGCGTAGGTGTATACACTCCCTGTCTTCCCTTAAACTGTGAGATTAAAACCGCTCCATATCTTTCTTTCTACGAACTAATTCTTCCTGTAATATATCCTTATTGCAACATTTCTTTTATATATTACCACCTCTGAATTAACTACTTTTATGAATCCGGTGTCCATCTCGTGTTAATGAGGTGTGGCAACTTGGACCGATGCATATATGTGCCTGGTCCTACGTTGTAGCTGACTGACCGACTCATTATTATTATTAATATTATTATCCCTAATCATTTGTTTATTTTTGATTGTACTTCCTCTTCCTCACCTACCTCTTGACAATTCCATTTCATTATTGTTTAGAGCATATTTTGTTGCCCAGCTGTACTGATATTTGTGTTCAAATAAGTAAATCAAACTGGTTTTATTTTGCCTTCTGCACTCTAACTGTCATTGAGGAAAGCTTATTGTTTCCTGTCATCGTTTTATGGCTTTTCGTAATTTTTGTGATGCATACTCATAATTTTTTTTACATTATTAGTGATTTAAATCATCCTACTCCATATGTTGTTAGTTTGGCTCTATGCACTTTGGGAAGTATATGCTCTGCTGAAATGAGCAGAGATCTAGCCGGTGAAGTTGAGCGACTAATACGATCATCAAATGCTTACATAAAAAAGAAGGCAAGTTTATATTCATATTTGAGATTATAAGCATTGATAGTATTTATTGTTGTTCAATTTTTATATTTCAGTAGTCATGAACTAAAGTTCGCGAAAACGTATTTTTAAATATGGTATCGCATTTATTATTTATCGCTAGTTCTATTTGATAGGGAATGATATTTATGGATGTTCTTACAATATTCTGCTATTTGTGTTGGGAAAACATTACCATTTAAGTTTTCCCAAGGTTATTTCCGTAAGCATTATCATCCACTTAACTGGGTTGAGAACTCACTGAACATCGGCTAAGTCAAACAGTCGGCCAGATGTGAACAACGCTGAACTTGTTAAAATTGTTTAACAACACAAGTTGCTAGACTTCACACACGAGGAAAAGTCAACAACAGGGAAACAATAGAATGGAACCGACAATTCGACTGAGTTTTTTAATGAGTTATAGGTTGCATGTGCGTAATTAAGGAAGTTTAAGTTTCTTAACTTGAATGACTACTAATAATCAAGAAGAATGAATGTAATTCATCAGTGAGTAACTTTTTTTCAGTTCCACCTTAAAGACAATGTGGTTTACTTAGTACTTAGATATCTTCGTGTGATTAAATGACTGGACTCGAACTGACTTATCAATGTCAAATAGTTTCAATCATGAGTTCTTAATGAAAGCATTTTATCCTCACTAGAGTGATGATCAGAAAGACAATTACGAGTACACCAATTTGTTTCAAGTAATTATTCGACGTGGCAACATGTATAAACGTGACTAATATAACCGTAGTGACTAATTAGTGTATGAATTCTTCAATAAAAGATTAATAAACTAGTTGGTTGTTTATTGTCTTGTACTTTAGAAAATTGATTATCGGCTAACTGAAATAAAGTGATCTTTTCTGAATGCTGTAAATTCAACCACATCTCGTAGTGCACTTCTCAATGATAGTACTTTAATCTGACTGTTAGACAGTGGTTTGACTAACCGACTCTTAGTGGTCTTGAAAAGATTGATCACTTTTTTAAGTATATAAGTGATACTTTCAGCTGTTGCTAGGACCTACCGAAAGTCACATGAGTATTCAATATATTTACGGCAAAAATATGTAGTTATTTTTTCAATCTTATAAACATATATTGCTCTGAGTATTTTGATTTTTTCCGAACTAGAATATATATATCAGTAAAAGTAGTGGCTACTCTATTACTGTTGTCATAGTTATTATTACTACCATTATTGTGTCCAATAGTAAGAGAACGTAAGTTTTATATGTTGTATTCATAGCACTATCACATTGGTAAACTACCGTTTACTGCGATTCAGAATAATTGTACTAAAAATCTGTAAGTAGGACTAGATTACTGTCGTGGACTGATATTCAAGATATATTTTCTCTTATCTTGTTGGACAAAAATGGCAAGACTATAATTTATGAACGGACCAGTGAAATAAAAAGTAGCACGTCTTAGATTTTGGTGCGAGATTCATTTATCAAAAGGGTTAACTTGCATTTTGACATTATAACTGATGTTAGTTCGTGATGAAAACTATAAACTCCTAACCTTAACTTCTAACTCCAAATTCTAATTCCTCATATTAATTTATAACCCTCTTTGGACACAGGTTTACAAGTGAATTTTTATCAAGGTCACTTTAGCGTCGCTCATATGTTGTCCATAAATTATCTCGAACTAATCCACTTAATGAATTTGTTTGTAACTATGAGAAAAATTGAGGATCTATAATCTCATTTAACTCAAATAATTTGAACATAGTTTTCTCGAGCTGACATCAAGAATCTAGTTAATGGATCTAGACGCTAATTGATTTTCCTCTCGAAGCTATTGTTTCGGGATCTAGTGTTTTGTATGGTCGGGAGTATATCTATTAGGGTCTCACCTAGTTGGTTTCCCTATAGATTTTGTCTTTCAGTTAAATGAAAGTTTAGTGTCGATTACGTGTTTTATTTACAGATTTTTTTAAATAGGCTGTAGTGTGCATATTTAAAAATATATTCCACATACATAATGTTCATATTATTTGTCGGCCGACTTGAAGTTGCATATATTAGCCTGGTCCTACGTTGCAGCTGACTGACTGAAGGTTGTTGTTAATACAATGAGGGGATTATGGGTGGCAATTTTATAATTTACCCTTTTTTCATAGAATGCTTACAATTTTATTTCAACAGGCGGCATTATGTGCCTTTCAAATAATCCGAAAGGTACCTGATCTCATGGAAATGTTTATACCATGTACACGTTCTCTTCTTTCTGAGAAAAATCATGGAGTCTTATTGGCTACCATTTGTTTAATTCAAGAAATGTGTGAACGTAGTCCGGATACTTTGAATTACTTTCGCAAGGTGTGTTCATTTTAATTTCCAGATATTTATTTTTGGTGCTTCTCATAAGTAATCAACGAATTATTTTTTTGATTGTATCACTTATTTGAACTGTATGTCGATATTAAGTATGCTAAACTCTATTTGAATGTATTTATTTACTTAGGTACTGTCAGATTCACTGTGATAGCGCACTCGAGGTCTAGCTCTTATCGGGTTACTGCCGGTGCAAACCCTGCGTGAAGGAGGAGGGTTGAACATAGGGTCAGCAAACTCATCACATGGAAAACATCCTTGCTAAAAAACTAACCAGAATTAACAAACAAAACCAATTAAACTCTACCCTGACACTTCAAAAGTCTACTTTCAGCAGAATTATGTAGTCTCATAGTGAAAGCCTACATTCTTTGGAAGTCACGAAAGTGATACCCAGTCTAACAACTAGAGCAACAATTAATATAGATACATGGAATGACTGGAAAATGTGGGAGACCGAGAGGACCAGTCAAACGGCAACGGAAATGAGGGGATACAACTTGGCGGTTCTTGGAATAAGTAAAACCCATTGAACCCAAGCTGGACGGAAAAGGATAAATTCGAGAGAGATGCTGTTTTACTCGAGTCACAAAGAAGAAAGTGCTCCACAAACTTAGTGAGTTGCTCTGATGCTGTCCAAAGAAGCACTAAATGTACTTATAGGACGGGAATCTCATGGATCCAGAATCATCAAAACATCAATCGAAACAAAGAAGAAGGGAATCACAATGAATGTTATCCAATATTATTCACCTACCAATCCTAACAATGAAGACGACAAAGATCTGTTTTACGAGAGGCTGCAACCGATCATAGCGAGGTGCTCAAGAAAGGACCTGACTATCCTTATGGGAGACCTAAACCTCAAAGTCGGAACGGACAACGCCGGGTATGAAGGTATTGTGGGACGAAATAGACTGGGAGAAAGGAACTAGATTGTTGACAGATTTGCAAACTTATATGTATTCAACGAAATCGTTATAGACGGCACAATATTCCTTCACAAACGCATACACAAAGCTACATGGGTCCCACAGGATTACACTACAGAAAAACAGACCAATCATATCTGTATCACTACAAAATTCAGAAGGTCAGGTCAGCGAAAGATGCGAGAATCAGGAGAGGAGCTGACATGACTTCAGATCACCACCAACTGGTGATTGCCAAGATGAAACTGAAGCTAAAGAAGTAATGAACAACTGGGGAAACAACATTACAAAGTTTCGAAACAGCCTTCCTTCCAGATACTGACAAACCCAACGAATTCAAGATATCTCTCAACAACAGATTCCAAGCCTTACAAGATCTACTGGGAGAAGAGGAAACTACTATGGAAAACAATTGGAAAGGGATCAGAGAAGTACTAACTTCAACGTGTCGGGAGGTTCTGGGTCTCAAGAAGCATCATCACAAGGAATAGATCTCTGTGGAAATCCTGAACAAGACTCAAGAAAGGAAAAACAAGAAGATAGCACTTAACAACAGCCGAACAAGAACAGAGAAAATCAAGACACAAACTGAATCCACTACAGCAAACAAACAAGTAAAGACAAGCGTTAGAGCTGAAAAGCAGAAATACATAGAAGACCTAGCAACGACAGTGGAAAAAACTGATAGAGAAGGAAATATGAAACGACTGTTTGACACGACGAGGAAACTGACAGGGAAATATAGTAAACCAGAGAAGTCGGTCAAGGCCAAAGGAGGCAGGCCCGTCGCTGAAACTCAAGGAGAGAGGAACAGGTGGGTAGAGCACTTTTAAGAACTCTTGAATAGACCTGCCCCGTTGAACCAATCGGACACCGGAGCTGTACACATAGACCTATTTATAGATGTCACTCCACCACTTATCAAAGAAATCAGGATGTCCATCAGACATATGAGGAGTGGGAAAGCAGCAGGACCTGACAACATACCAGCCAAAGCACTGAGATCAGACATACAAGTGACTGCAAACATGCTCCACGTTCTATTCAGGAGGATTTGGGAGGAAGAGCAAGTGCCACTGACAGACTGGAAAGAAGGACACCTAATCAAGATATCAAATAAAGTAAATCTGAGCAAGTGTGAGAACTACAGGGGTAATTGACTACTCTGAGTTCCAGGAAAAGTTTTCAACAAAGTGTTGCTGAACCGGATGAACGATTCAGTAGACGTGCAACTTTGAGATCAACAGATCGGATTCCGTAAGGATCGGTCGTGCACAGGCCAAATCGCTACACTACGGATCATTGTTGAGCAATCAATTGAATGGAACTTGTCACTATACATCAACTTCCCTGACTATGAGAAAGCGTTTGACAGGAAAATCTTATGGAACCCTCTTCGATACCATAGTGTATCTGAGAAAATCGTCAACATCATCCGGAATTCATACAACAGACTACACTGCAAAGTCGTGCATGTAGGACAGTTAGCTGACAGATGCATTCCAAATGAGAACCGGAGTCAGGCAAGGCTGCTTACACTCCACCTTTCCCTTTCTTCTGGTGGTTGACTGGATTATGAAGACCTCGACATCTGAGCGAAACATCAGGCGCCGAGAATTGGAAACAGGTATGAAAAGGATGAATTACGATTGGGAAGGGTGATCCAGAAGAGAGTTCAATAGAGAATATTTGTGATCGGTCTATGCTTCCACACGAGAAGCTACAGTCGGGAGTAACTATATATATAATCAAATGTTCTACAGTAAACGATAATTTGCTAGGGGTAAAACTCACATTCAACATGATGAACTCAACAATAGTAGTCATAACGCTTCGCTTACATGCACAATAATAGCTGGTTCAGTTTGCGCGAATAGATAAAAACTGTGACGAACAATAGAACACTTTTTAAGCAAAGATGGATAGTGGTTAGCGATAGATCAGTCTCATGTTGGCATATGTGCATCCTGTGCGGATTGCTTCGATATAGCCTTAAGTCTCAAGCTTTTTAAACAAAGATGTATAGTGGCTAGCAGTGGAATCTAGGACGCGCGTTTCGTGGTACTTGGGACTCGTCAGCTGGATGTACCTGCATTCCAGAGTTGATGTTTACTCCGGGACTCTAACCCAAATAGGATTCCACTGCTAGCCATTATCCATCGTTGCTTAAAAAGCTTGTGAGTTAAAGATATATCGAGGCAATCCGCACAGGATGCACATATGCCATCATGAGACTTATCAATTGCAGTCCTAAATAACAATGGGAAGATACAAGTAAAACAACACCAAGTGAATATAATAAAACACTTTGTTTTCGGATCACTGAGATTCATAATCATTACAAACTTTTATCATAGGAAACTAATTACTAATAAGTAATACAGTTTTAACACATGAATTTCACAGATATCTATGTAGATTGTGCATTTGTAGCCTCATTTTATAAAACATTGTTTCTAGAATGGGAGTGTTCAACCTCTACTAGGTTCTAGTAATACATGATTGAAGACTTTTTGTTGTTTACAATTAAAATTTAAGTGTCGCAAACCTTTTGTATATGCTTTACTCTGACTTGGTAATTCTATCAAATAAATTAAATATTAAAGATTCCCATTGTGAAAATTAGAACAACACATATAAGCGAACGATTGTTTTCAATTACATCGTCATCAGGCTTTACTCTAATATACATGAATATTTATACGAAAATGTAAACCATACAAGGCAATATGGGTCAATAATCACAATGAAATAGAATAAGTCTACACATAATAGGTAAAAATACAAATTGATAGTATTTAAAGCAATTAGTCCCTTTTATGAATTTCGATAGAACAATGAGAAGACGGAGTTGATCTGAAAAATGTGATGTATTAGCGCTATACATTTCGAACGATCTGGTCACACATATACTTGTCAGGGCATTTTTACAAATAAAAGTTAGACCTCTATTAATTTTCATATAAAAATGCCCTAACAAGCATATGTGTGACCAGATTGTTCTAAATGCATAGCGCTAATACATCACATTTTTCAAATCAACTCCGTCTTCTCATTGTTCTATCGAAATTGATAGTAGGAAGACAGGTGTACTGATAGTGGTAAGAATAATAAAATACGATAATAAAAGTCTTATCAATAGTTAAACGTTGGAAATAGAAGGTCAAACATGGGTAAATAGACTAGGAATAGTAATCACAAAACATTAAGATCATTACGTAATAAGAAGTGTGTAAATAATTAGATAGTGAAGAATACAAACAGAAAGAGGCGGAAAGTTACAAACAAATAATGGATGTGAAAATAAGGTTAACGATAACACAAATAGAATAAAATAAATAAATAATAACAATAATAGAAATCTTAAAAAAATCGTTAGTTAAGTTATAACTGGCCATGGAAGGGATAGGGGGGTTACGAATTTCTTCTGTACACACAAATTGGGGTTATATGTACGAATTCCAATGGCTTCAGGTATATGTAGGAGGCAGGAACGAACTCCGTTGGGATATAATGGAGGTATACGATAGATAACTGGAAATGATTTCGATTTATCTTAAGCATGACCGCTATCAATGAGATGTGCCAAGATACAACTGCGAATAGACTTTATCTGGCCCTTTATATACCAAGTTGGTAGATGTTCACTCATTCGTTGGCTAAGTTGCCTGGTAGTACGTCCGATATAGCTATCTGCACAGGAGCAGTTGAATTTGTAAATGCACATTGAAGAGGCCAACTCAGGTAACTTATCCGTCGTTTGAGTAGACATCGCTGGTGGACAAGAGATGGTCAACGCAAGATAGGCTGCGTAGAATGTCCTGGTGATTACTTTAGTTAACCTATATTTCAGAGTATCACTAGCCACATCCCCGTTGAATTGTACTTTCATGTATAAAGGTTTCTTACGAACAGTCGAAATCTCCGACTTCTTTATTATTTATTTATTTATTTGGACACATGAATATTGGTACAAGGGAGCGCCAATATATATGCGCCACACAAAACAATGAAAATTCGAGAGGAATACAAAGAAAGAAAAAAAAGCTAAGGAGCGCAACAAAAAAAGAAAGAACAATAACGAAGAGATTGGTGTAAGGTAATGTGCTAGTAATCAGGGAACGCAAAGGTACAATCGGAAGAAATCTTTCAGGTAAGGGAGACACAACCACTTTTTATGAAGAAAGTAAAAGAAGGTTACAGCAGGATCGCCACTGGCTTCTATTCTGAGCCATATCTGATAACGTCTCTAGCCACTGTGTAGCACCATCTCTCAGACCCCAACCAGGGAGTCGTGAAGGACCAACACAAGCCAGTCCTTTGCAGCTTTCTTTCATGCCACGACACCATGTCATGCACTGACCACCTCTCCGCTTCTTCCAACCAGTCCCAGAGTCGGCAAATAATGCACGACGTGGAATTCTCTGGGACGACATTCGGAGAACATGTCCAAGCCACCGAAGTCGGTGTTTCAAGATGGTGACACCAATTGAATTATCATCTCTGTGCCCGAACACACGATGCCGAACCTCTGCATTACTGACATGGTGTTGCCACTGAATGTCAGCAATCCTTCGGAGACAGCGATGATCGAACACAGAGAGTCGTCTAACGTCCTCAACTCGGAGAGGCCAGGTTTCACAAGCATAGAGCAAAACTGCTCTCACCGACGCGTTGTAGATCCGACCTTTTACAGCCAGACTAACATCACGAAGGCGCCAAAGGTGGCCCAGATTGGCATAAGCCGCTCTGGCTTTCACTATACGTGCATTGATCTCATCACTCACACCCCCACCAGCACTTATGCAGCTACCCAGATACACGAACTTCTCGACTACGTCTATCTGCTCACCATCCAGGGTGAGTACAGGATTGGAATCCTGCCAGTCTTGTAGAAGTACTTTGCACTTCGAAGGTGCAAAGCACATACCATACCTACGGACACTGATTGCCAACTGATTAAGTGCGGATTGCATGCCTTGGGCATTATCGCACAGTAAGACAATATCGTCCGCATACTCAAGGTCGAGAAGTCTTTCTCCAGGCAACAGATCCACACCACCATTACTTACATTCATCAGAGCTGTTTCCAGAATGTCATCGATGGCAAAGTTGAAGAGGAATGGTGAGATTGGGCAACCCTGCCTAACCCCACTGCTCGAATGGAACAATGGAGAGAGGTGGTTGTATGCCCTCACTCTGCCTGAGGTGTTTTTATATAGGGCTTTTAGGATGTTAATAAACTTCTCAGGCACACCCTTCTTCAATAGACAATCCCAGAGAACAGTCCTGTCCAACGAATCGAAGGCAGCCCTGATGTCAAGAAACACTACGATTGTTGGCCTTTGATAAGTATGGCGGTGTTCTAACATTTGGCGGAGGGTGAAGATATGATCAATACATCCTCGACCAGAACGAAACCCAGCCTGCTCCTCGCGAGTCAATCTTTCTCGGGTTTTGAACAACCTACGAAGTATGACGGAAGCCAATAGCTTGGACGCAATCGGAAGTAGACTTATCCCCCGATAGTTGTTACAGGAACGACGTGAACCCTTTTTAAAGATAGGGACAACTATCGACTCATTCCATGACGTTGGTACACTCTCTAGTTCCCAAACCTTTGTAAACAACGTCGTCAATTCCTTAGTCAAAAAGTCACCACCATCTTTAAAAAGAGCCGGAGGTAAGTCATCTGGGCCAGGTGATTTGTAACGCTTCAAGAGTTGGAGTTCCTTGCGGACTTCCTCCTCGTTTGGTGGATCAGTCGTCACCGGCCATGGAGGGCAGGACAGTCTGACCGATGTTGCCGGAGCAGCAGGCCAGTTGAACTGCCCTTCGAAAAATTCTGCCCATCGTCCAAGACGTCGATGGATGTTAGTGATTGGCATCCCATCATCCTCGCAGATTGTTTCACTCACACCAGACTTCTTGCTGCCAGTGGCTCGGATGAGCTGGAAGAGCTTCCGGTAATTACCAGATGCAGCTGCTGCTTCCAGCTCATTAGCACGCTTCGACCACCAGGCTTCTCGGTCCTTACGCAAGCTTTGCCCAATTTCCTTACGTAACATCCTTCGTTTATGGTCAAACTCACGGTCACCCGGAGTAGACCGACGGGCTTCAATGAGTTGTAAGGAACCAGAAGAAACCCAGTGCTTAAAAGCGGGACGTTTCGCAAACCCACAACTGACTGTTCCCGCCATTTTCATGGCGTCATGCAATTGCAACCAATGCTCATCTATACTTTTCGGTGGAGTGGTAGCTAGCCTAGAGGCTAGCTCGGTTCGATACTTACTTGCAACAGAAGTTGCAACCAGCTTGCTAACATCAATCCGTTGGTGGTGGTCACTTCGTTGTCCACTGAAAAGTAAGGCAAGATTGGCGCAGACCAAGGCATGGTCAGAGTCCAGATAGGTACTCCAAAAGGAGCGGCAGTCTTGTACACAACCACGCCAGCGGTAGCTGATCGCGATGTGATCAATCTGAGTCCAGGCTTGAGATGCAGAGGGAGGACGCCAGGTGGCACATCGGCGATGACTGTGCCGAAAGTTAGTGCTAGCCAGAAACAGGTTGTGGTCTGTGCAAGTTGCAGTAGACGGTCCCCGTTATCTGACCTGCGACCAACAAGTCCCCATCGGCCACCTAAACGACTCTCTTCTGTGCCTAGACGCCCGACCTGAGCATTCAAGTCTCCGGCTAGTACTACAATATCTGTCGAACGCACTTTCTGGAGAAGAACAGATAACTGGTGGTAAAACTCATCCTTGATTGCATCCGGGCTGCAATCTGTCGGGGCATAGGCGGAGATGACGAAAAGACATCGTTTCTCACGCCGATTTCTTCTCACTTTGATGGAACTTTCTAATCTAACAGCACATAACCGACTGTTAATGGGGATCCAATCGACTAGTGCTGCCTCAGCTCTAGCGCTTAGTGCGACACCAACGCCAGCAAGACCAGACGAAGATGCCACAGGGTCCCCGGATAAGCGCACGTAAAACAAGCTTTTCGAAGCGACAGATGGAGATCGAATTTGTAGTACTTCGCCAGAGTCTTGAATACGGGTCTCGGATAGACAACAAACATCAATATTAAGACTTTCCAAAGACATAGCCAGCCCTATCTGTTGTCCGACCTGCATAAGTGTGCGAACGTTGAAGGCAGCCAGTTTGAATGGTGCACGTGGTTTCAGAAAAACTGCTTCAGTACTCATATTCGGTGGTAACATACAATTTTCAACCGGACAGTGACTCGAGAACGTTTAGATACAGTCGGATTTCCACCAAAGACGAGCCGCTGTATAAGTATAAAAGAGGGTGAATAATGTGGGAAATAATAATAATAATAATAACGACAATAATAGTAATAATAATAGTATTAATAATGACAATAATAGTAATGATAATTATTTGAATCGACTGATTGTTTTTCGGAGCGATAAAAGTAGTTGCCAAAGACATAGAGTTCATCGTTTGTGTGTGGGCTGTGATACTGCCCGGGTGCCCAAACCGAAGCAGGTGGTTTTCTTAGGGGGCCACTCCCCGAGCCTTTGACCTAAAGGTCTAACCCACAAGGCAGTGGAGCATCGTAAGGAGATGCAATCCCATGGTAGCCGGTGACCAAAGATTGGTTCATACGCCATTTGTTCCCGCAGGATACTGGAGCCCATGTGCACCATTGGTTTGTGATCCGGTTAAAGCGCCGGACATTCGCTTTTCGTCCTCTCATTTTCGTAAACAACACCCCCGCCACGAGAAGGCAATGAGTAGGACTTCCCTGGCAGAGGCTGTATACGCGCGGCCGTGTGAGAGTATTTCGAGAGGGAGAGCGGACTCACCCCACTCTCGGCCGTACCAGAGCATTCGGGGGCACTTCTTTATTATGTCATACATGTACTTCTTAATGAAAGCACTGGGGTAGCCGATCTCGGTCAGTGAGTTGTTGATAAATTCAAGCTCCTGACTTAGAGTATCTACTGTACAGATCTTTTTTGCTCTGCTAGTATCGTGTTTTATTATTCTTACCACTGTCAGTACATCTGTCTTCCTACTATCAATTTGTATTTTTACCTATTATGTGTAGAGACTTATTCTATTTCATTGTGATTATTGACCCATATTGCCTTGAATGGTTTACATTTTCGTATAAATATTCATGTATATTAGAGTAAAGCCTGATGACGATGTAATTGAAAACAATTGTTCGCTTATATGTGTTGTTCTAAATTAAATATGTAAATGTAGATAAAACCTCTATCCATAAATATAAAAAATGTGACCAAGTCTAATTTTGTTGTTTTAGTGTTTTGATCGCTCACTATAATTATATTGTTTCACTTGGATTCTAGCAATTTATATTCAAGTCCATATTGCTTTTGTTTCATTAGTGTAATACATATTCATTTAATTCTCTTTATCCTTTAGCAATTAGTTCCAACACTAGTACGTACTTGAAGAATCTCATTATGACGGGTTATTCCCCTGATCACGACGTTAATAAAATAAGTGACCCATTTCTGCAGGTTTGTCGTCATTGTAACAAACAAATTTTTGACTATTATATCTGGTATCAAATTATAATTTTTGAGTTCCAGTTTTTTTAGATTAAAATCCTGTTAAGTTTACTTGTTTGATGATCATTGCACTATATTCTTTATTGAGATATAAAGTTTTTTTGAAATTTACCATTATTTAAAACCACCCGAATTCGCATAATTCGTTGTGCTTAACACTTTCATTTTAGTAATGTAAGGTTGACATATGAAAATTCGTAGCTATTTATGCCTTTCCGTATGGTTGCTTTGTTGGATTAACCGTCATTTACATCTAGATATGTATGCGTAAGGAAGATTATTTGCTTATCTTCGGATGTTTATTTATAGTTAAACTATTAGATATCTTTAAATTTAATAAGAATCTAGTATTCAGCTGCTTTGTTGTTGTTTACTGTGAACTGATTAGTTAAGGAGTGAAATAACACAATAGTTGTGTTTTGCGAGATTGTTATCTGTTTCGTATTCTGTGTACCATTTGTCTGATTTTTAAGAAAAATGGTTAACATTCTGAAATACTTTAAATGAAATCTCATTATTTTAAAAACCCTTATATTGCAATAATCTATTTTGTGCTATACTGGTGAGCGATTTATCGTCTTTTAGTACTTTTTGATGTCTTTATTCACTTTTTCCTTTGTAGGTGAAAATACTGAGGCTCATGCGTGTTCTAGGTCATGGTGATAAAGCTGCCAGTGAAGCAATGAATGATATTCTAGCTCAAGTAATCTTAGAATATAAATCTTTACAGTACCCAACATTGTTGTTATCACTATCAAAGACGTCTTTATTCCTATCTTTCATTCTTGTGTCTAAGTATTACTCTGAATTATCGATATGATCATTGATTTTTTCATAAAATGTAATTTGACATAATCTAATTGTATGTCTTAATCGTTGCAAAAAGTTATCAATAACGTATAGAAAACATGTGGAACTATAATTTAAGTTCCAATTAATTAGAATTGCATTACCTTTTCGTGTATGCATGTAGATATCTGCACCCCTTCCGACGTTAGCTGTAACTCATACTGTCTTATGCTTTTTCATTTTATTTCATCTACTTGTTTAAAGGAGTTGCATATATGAACATTTTTAGTAAACAGTTTGATTGAAATGATGAACAATCACACTAGTGCGTTTACTTGATTGTGTTTCACTTTAAAATAGTAACATATAAATTGCAACCAGAGTAATAACTAATTCCAAGTTTGTGTATACACTCTCAAACTGCACTGATTGTTCGGAACCTACATATGATACTCGATTATATAGTTCAAACTTATGATCCACCTTTTTTCTGAAGTTATTCACATTAACAACTGAATCATATTAACGCTGAGTGAGAATTTCAGTGAAAAATCATACATGAATCAGGAAATATATAATAAGTAAGCCTACGAAAAGAGGATTTTTATAGCCGATTAGCCAACTCACTTGCTTCATAATTGTTGATTTCGAACTATTTTACTGAAATTTACTGATCATTTCTTGTATTAGCTAAATATTAATTCAACATTCCTATATTCAACGGATTTATGGATTAGTTTCAAGTCGTTAAACTCCACTATTTTCCCTTTTCTCTCAGCACACATACTTCAATATGAATGTTGATCATCTAAGCAAGATCAACGATCCTGATGAGCACAGGTTTATAGAATCATTAGTGTACTTCTTTTGCCATTTTTCAAACACTATTAAAACCTCGGGTTTCTTGAAGTGTTTCTGTTTTATTTGTTTGTTAACTTTGACATGGTCACTTTTGAAATTTATAGGTTGCTACAAATACTGAGACGAGTAAAAATGTTGGTCATGCGATTCTCTATGAAATCGTGTTAACAATAATGGGAATAGAATCAGATCCAGGATTGCGAGTACGTTTGTTATGAGGATGTTTTACTCGGTTAGATCGAGGATGTTATTTGCTATCTTTTCGTAATAAACATCATTGAACAGTTTAGTATACTTAATAGTTCTCTTTTATATATTGCTTCAGAATTAGATATTAAGATGAATAGTAACATTAGATAGATGGTTAATAACATATCATCAAACAGACGAAACTATGATCTTGGATCCTAGTCGTTCAAGTTAGATTTGCTTTGTTAACATTCAGATAAATGTTCGCACTTCTTACTTCGAGAATATGCTTCGCACCATTTTTTTTTACTTTTTTTTACCATTCTGAGATCATTGTGTACCCGAAAAATTACTACTTTGTTTCAAATATAGTAATTATTCATGGTCATGTAGAGAAATTTAGTCGTTTGTTGCTTCTGAATTTATTTCACGGAGAAGCTTGTTAGGGTTCATAAATACAGATTACAAGTTATTCAGATATAAAATAACTTTTAGTGCTAACTATTACTCGTCCATCGAGTTTTAACTAACAATTTCCTAGCTTATAGTAAGACATTCGACTTTAAACCACTAAATAATATGTTCAAACCCCATTCCATGTACTTCGATTCGGGAACTGGCTTGGTAGTATCACTATCTCTTATACTTAGAATGTGGCTCGAAGCGAAGTAATGAGTGAAATTAAATTAATCTTTAGGAAGCATACTAGTGTTTGATGCCTTTTAACAGCTATGGAAATTATTCTAAAATGAGCGTTCTGTTATACATTTATATTCTAATTCTTCTAAAGGTTCTTGCCATAAATATTTTGGGCCGGTTTCTACTAAATACTGACAAAGACATTCGCTACGTCGCTCTCAATACTTTGTTGAGAGTTGTGCATGCTGATTCTAAAGCTGTACAGAGACACAGGTTGACAATATTGGACTGTTTGAAGGATCCTGATGTTTCGATACAAAGGTTAGTCGGTTTTTGTAAATATAAAAGCTGAGTATGATTCAAGTCATTCAATTTTTAAAAAAAATGGTTTCACCGTGTGTTTCAATAAAAAGTAACTATCCAATTTTGTGGTTTTGGCTCTCTACACTTCGATATTATAAATTTATAAGTGATAGGTGAATCTCCTTCCCCGTTCAAAGTTTATCCGAATCGTCTATTGGTAATCAATGTTTACTTAATCATGTTTAGTTTTCTGTGTTCAACTGTAATAAATATATATAGTGTTCAGTATTCTAGTAAAATTACCATCATGTTTCAACACGTAAATTAGATAATCAAACATCAGCTTTGTGTAATTAAACTGAAGATTTCTTTGATTTTACAGGCGTGCTATCGATTTATGCTTTGCATTAACAAATCATACGAATGTTTGTTCAATGGCCAAGGAACTTCTACTTTATTTACAAAGTTGTGATAATGAATTCAAAGGAGATGTTTGTTCAAATATCTCAATAGCAGCCGAGAAATATGCTCCAAATAAAAGGTGGCATGTAGACACCATGATGAAATTGTTAACCACCGTAGGTTTTTATTTTGTTTTGAAATTCTCCAAATAGTTTGTACATATATAAATTATATTCAAACTCTCTCACGAGTTGTTTCAAAAGACCATTCATTGTATCGTAATACCCCCTCGTTGCTCTGGTTAGTTTTTATGTTCTCTGGATTAAAAAGCCTAATTTTTTCTTATTATTGTCATATGTCGTTGTTTTATTAGAATTTATCCTTTAGGATATTCATAAGCTGTTTAATTCAGTTGGTTTTATTCTATAAAAACTACAAGATTATAAACCTTTTTTACTGCCATATTGTTTCGTTGTTGATTTCTTCGCTTAAGTATTTTGCAAAACTCTATCAGTAAGGGAAGTTTATATTATTGGAAAGGTAGATAGGAATTTTGTAAAATATGTCGTTTGCAAATAGGGTTTGTAAATTTTTGCTGTTGGATCGGATCAGTTGACCCCTGTATATTAATGCTTGGACATATTGTCTTTAATTTTTCCGAGTTATGTTTTTGTATGTAGTTCAGATTAGGTGGTTTGAATGTACGTATAGGAGAATGCTTTAGAAACGGTGCTACATTTACCGTCGCAAGTTTAAATGTTGTTGATAATTAACTTGCACTAAGCGAACTCTATTCGATTTCTGCAAGAATTCTTTTCAGAAATCTAAAAGGTACTTCTAGAACTTTTCTTTTAGCTATTATCATTTGCATTTTCCAATTGTATGTTATTATTTTGATAGGCTGGAAACTATGCTCGGATGATGTCGTCTCATCTCTGGTTAGCCTGATTTCTCAAAATCCTAGTCTACATGCGTACGCTACCGTTCAGCTATTCAGTGCTATGAATGGAGCCATGTCTCAACAACCTTTGGTTCAGGTATATTGTAATTCCCTTCCATATTATCGTTCAGTTTTTCTGATTAATTAAAACCACGAAATATTGTTAAGTTTGGATTCCGGGTGTCAGTACTGTATCTATATCCTAGGTTCTCAGTATTCAGAGATATAATTAAAGTGTCTATAAGGCTACCAATGCCATTCATGTATCAGGAGCATTATTTATATAATATACATAAGTACTGGCACAGCTGGGCAACAAAATATGCGCTAAACAATAGTGAAATGGAATTGTCAAGAGGTAGGTGAGGAAGAGGAAGTACAATCAAAAATAAACAAATGATTAGGGATAATAATATTAATAATAATGAGTGGCCGAGAATAGTATATGATAGAATATATAGTTCAGTTAAAAATACAACCAGCAACACATCTCTCAGTTAAGCCACGTCCTCTCAATTTTCTATATGAAGAATGTAAAAGAAAGCTACTGCAGGATCTCCATTGGCTTCTGTTTCCACTCACATTTGGTAATGTCTCAAGCCACTAAGTTGTATAATCCTTAGAATCCTAACCAGGGAGCAGTGAGGAACTGAAATGTCCCAGTCCCGTACAGTTTTTTTGCATACTTTGGTACCATGTCCTGAAGTGAACGATAGTTTGGACGCCGCCGAAACTTAACTTATCCTTTGGTAGCTGTTACATGAAAGACCTACAGAGCTTCTAAAGCTGAGGGCAACCTCCTCTTTATTCCCGGATGTTGGAACACTGTTTCCTAAACCCTTGCGAACAACTCAGTCAGTTCAGTGATCAGATGGTAGCCACCATCCTTAAACGGAGTTAATATTAAGTCGTCTGAGTCTGGTGTTTACGGTGTTTCAGACGTTGGAGTTGCTTGTAACCTTGTGTGTATGTGTATCACTTTTCATCGACTATGGATAATAGACCAGTCCGATCGATGTTGCTGGGACAGCATATTAGCTGAACTGTCCGTCCAAATAATCGTTATTTATCACAGAAATGCCGTTTGATGTTACTGTTTGGGATGTTCTTAGCTTCACAGATTATTTTACTGATACTAGACCTCGTGTTTGTGTCTGAAATGATATGAAATAGCTGTTCGAAACTCGTAGCATGCTCTGGAATCTAAGTTTCTCTGTGCTTACATTGCGAAATAATCTGTTTTGCGAATCAATGTGTAACGTCAAACTTGCGTCCCACCACAGTAAACTAGTGTGCCCCGAGGGGCTGTTAGGAACCGTCAGTACTTTCGACAGACGAGCTGCTGAATGAGATACAAATTAATACAGGATCGAAACTACGAAATCGAATAGCGAAATAAGTTTGTCTAAATTAAAGAAAAGCAATTTAAGTTCAGTATTCTTTCTTAATGAAAATTAGTTTTCATTAGTTTCCTAAGGTTAATTTTTAATGTAACTTTTCTGAATTGTAGTTCTATCTGAATGAAATTGTCATGATGGCGTATGTTGTAAAAATATGTATTAGCGCACGATTTTTGTATTAGGAATTCGGACCCAGGAACTTTCACATTGTTTTCACTGCAGATAAAAATAGTAGTAGTTTATTTACACTTGGTTGTTAAAAGTATAGTAATGTTCAACTTATTTTGTCCTCCTAAAGCCCATTGATGCTGTTTGGTAACTGTAATTTATATATTTTATGTAGTTCTTTGACATACTTGAAGTTTTCCATTATTTCTCGCTATGTAGATAAAAAGCGCTATACTTTTAATCAGCTGAGTAAATTAGATAGTAAAGCATAGATTTCTATGCTCATAGCTACAAGGGAACTGTTTTTCGACCTATCTGTTTAAGGTGGGAATAGCTCAATCAAGTGAAACCTAATCTAATTCTACTTTTCAGGTTCTTTTGATATATAGAAGGTAGTATATGGATATAAATCTTTTGTGTCTCAGTTGCAATAACTGGTTTTTGTATTAGATGAACTTACTCCATATAGCAAACATTTGACTGAATGAGGATCTTGATTTTTATAAAACAACCGAAAAACTATCATTTTTAAATGTACATAAAATTAATTTTTTTGAACCTACTAGTTTTTAGTGACTTTACATTGAGATATGTCAGTTTGGTGGGTTTGTCGCTTTGATTACCCCATTGTAATTTTGTTTCTAATTCTTTCTTGGTCGTCTTGATTGTTATCATTCCACAAAGCAGGTTCTATATTTTTATTACGGAATTTTTAATTCTAGTTGAATATACATGCCATAATTCAGTAAAATTATCGTTTCTCACCAAATATTAAAAATTCTTTTATAGGTAGCGTGTTGGACAATCGGGGAATATGGCGATTTGTTGGTTTCGCCGGAACCTTCTGAAGATATTCCGAACCCAGTTACTGAATTAGAATTGATTGCTGTGTTACAGCGTGCTCTAGTTAGTGTGACATCGACAGTGCAAACAAAACAAATGGTTGTAAACACACTTGTTAAACTAACCACCCGTTTTACTCCAACACATTTAGAGTAAGTTTTCAGTAAGATTATTTCATATTCACTTCCTTACGCCTGCTACCCCTCGTGGAGCAGCATGGGCCAACCACCAGCATTTTCCATCCAACTCTGTTCTGTGCAATCCTTCGCAGTCGCTATTCATCCTTTTAATATCTGCTTCCAAATCTGGATGCTGCATGTTTCTTGACTGTTCTCTTTTCCGTTTACCTTCAGTATTTCAAAGTTGGTGCTTGCCTCGTGATGTAGTTTTGTGATTTCCGCAATGTATGTTCTACCAACTTCCAACTTTCCCTAATTTCCTCCTCATCTGGGAGCTGGTTTATTGTCTCCCGCAGTAGGCTGTTGCTGATGTTATCCGGTCAACGGACATTGAGTACCTTAGGTAGACTATTGTTTATAAGTACTAGTGCTACGTTTGGAGAAATTACGTGTTCACTTAATCTGAAAAACGGGACGAAGACTCTGTGACACAGTGACAGATTAGTTAGCTATTCCGACGCGTCCCAACCCAGCTACCTAGAGAGAGCAGTCCAAATTCGGAAGAGGGAAATATATTCTTCATCAGCGGAGTCCAAATCATCTAATTTATTTTGAGTTGTCCATTGTATTCTGTGCTTTCCCTCAGATGTCGAGGTCTTCATAATCCAGTCAACCACCAGAAGAAAGGGAAAGGTGGAGTGTAAGCAGCCTTGCCTGACTCCGGTTCTCATTTGGAATGCATCTGTCAGCTAACTGTCCTACATGCACGACTTTGCAGTGTAGTCTGTTGTATGAATTCCGGATGATGTTGACGATTTTCTCAGATACACTATGGTATCGAAGAGGGTTCCATAAGATTTTCCTGTCAAACGCTTTCTCATAGTCAGGGAAGTTGATGTATAGTGACAAGTTCCATTCAATTGATTGCTCAACAATGATCCGTAGTGTAGCGATTTGGCCTGTGCACGACCGATCCTTACGGAATCCGATCTGTTGATCTCAAAGTTGCACGTCTACTGAATCGTTCATCCGGTTCAGCAACACTTTGTTGAAAACTTTTCCTGGAACTCAGAGTAGTCAATTACCCCTGTAGTTCTCACACTTGCTCAGATTTACTTTATTTGATATCTTGATTAGGTGTCCTTCTTTCCAGTCTGTCAGTGGCACTTGCTCTTCCTCCCAAATCCTCCTGAATAGAACGTGGAGCATGTTTGCAGTCACTTGTATGTCTGATCTCAGTGCTTTGGCTGGTATGTTGTCAGGTCCTGCTGCTTTCCCACTCCTCATATGTCTGATGGACATCCTGATTTCTTTGATAAGTGGTGGAGTGACATCTATAAATAGGTCTATGTGTACAGCTCCGGTGTCCGATTGGTTCAACGGGGCAGGTCTATTCAAGAGTTCTTAAAAGTGCTCTACCCACCTGTTCCTCTCTCCTTGAGTTTCAGCGACGGGCCTGCCTCCTTTGGCCTTGACCGACTTCTCTGGTTTACTATATTTCCCTGTCAGTTTCCTCGTCGTGTCAAACAGTCGTTTCATATTTCCTTCTCTATCAGTTTTTTCCACTGTCGTTGCTAGGTCTTCTATGTATTTCTGCTTTTCAGCTCTAACGCTTGTCTTTACTTGTTTGTTTGCTGTAGTGGATTCAGTTTGTGTCTTGATTTTCTCTGTTCTTGTTCGGCTGTTGTTAAGTGCTATCTTCTTGTTTTTCCTTTCTTGAGTCTTGTTCAGGATTTCCACAGAGATCTATTCCTTGTGATGATGCTTCTTGAGACCCAGAACCTCCCGACACGTTGAAGTTAGTACTTCTCTGATCCCTTTCCAATTGTTTTCCATAGTAGTTTCCTCTTCTCCCAGTAGATCTTGTAAGGCTTGGAATCTGTTGTTGAGAGATATCTTGAATTCGTTGGGTTTGTCAGTATCTGGAAGGAAGGCTGTTTCGAAACTTTGTAATGTTGTTTCCCAGTTGTTCATTACTTCTTTAGCTTCAGTTTCATCTTGGCAATCACCAGTTGGTGGTGATCTGAAGTCATGTCAGCTCCTCTCCTGATTCTCGCATCTTTCGCTGACCTGACCTTCTGAATTTTGTAGTGATACAGATATGATTGGTCTGTTTTTCTGTAGTGTAATCCTGTGGGACCCATGTAGCTTTGTGTATGCGTTTGTGAAGTGTTATATCTTGAAAAAGCTGATTTTCTTGATACAACCGCGTATAACTGAGCACTGGAACACCAAACCCTTCCAAGTCGCAATAAGAAGACAGAAGACTAACGAAAGGAATATTATTCCAAACAGTGTCAAACATAGTACAAAATTATCAGGTATTTATAGTTTTTAGTGGGAACGAAATCATCATTACAATCTTCCAATCCGCGTACAGGGGTTATTAGCATTATCCAATGGGGAAGCTACACGTTGGAATTCTAGAACATTCTTCCGACAGGTGATTGGATGGAACGTCTTCGGCTCCTTATGAGCCTCTTACAGCTTCCTCGAGTTCACCGGTGGTCCGTCGTCACACCTCCCCCCTTTAAAGTCCGTTGTGTAAGATTTTTTTCTTGGATCCACCTGAAGCTTGGGTGTCGCATTCCTCTTGCGCTCCATTACTCTCGAGGGTTGTACAGCTTTCTCTCTGCGTCGTTTGTCTTTTCGATATTTGCGCTCATGATGGTTCTTCGGGGATGAATCTACGAGCAATTGAAATGGAAGCCGGTTTTCTGTGACCACTGTACTATCATTTCTTTGCATTTGATTTATATGTCTTATGCATTTCCCGACATCTTTCCGGACTAGGTACAACACATTTCCGATTCGACGTTCTATGACACCTGGTTCCCACTTCTTATTACCTTGGTACGATCTGACAAGTACCTTCTCACCCACCTGGAAGCTACGATTGACCTTACGATTTTCATTCGTGGGTTTATTTGTCTTTCTGGGCGGCAACATACTGTTAAAAACTGTCCGGATTTTTCTTCCGAACATACACTCGGCCGGAGACTTTCCTTCTGGTACTGCCGGATTAGGGGTAACTCTGTAAGACATCAAGAACTTATTAATCACTTGTTCCGGGACACCCTCACCTCCCCCTTTGACCAGAGCTCTTTTAATTGTATCCACGAATCTTTCTGCCTGGCCATTCGACTGAGGATGGTATGGAGGAGATTGTAGATGCAATATGCCATTCTCGTTGCAGAAGCGTTTGAAGGCGGATGACATGAACTGAGTACCATTGTCGGTCACTAAGATCTCTGGAACCCCAAAACAGGCAAACAATCCTGACAATCTTCTTATGGTACTCTCTGAAGTCGTATTCGGCATGTCATAAACTTCCGGCCATTTTGTGAAAGCATCTACAACAACTAAGTAATTCCTGCCTTGTATCGGTCCGGCGAAATCAGCATGTATTCTTTGCCAAGGCCCGTCCGGTTTAGGCCATGGTTGTGGCTCAGCTCTCGTTGGGTTCTTTGCAGCCTCTTGACAAGACCAACAGCTGCGACATTTTTGCTCTATCTCATGGTCCATTGACGGCCAGTAAGCATAGCTACGAGCTAGTGACTTCATTTTACTTATCCCTGGATGCCCGCTGTGGAACTGTTTAATGGCTTGGTGTCGAAGATTTCTGGGGATAACGATACGATGGCCAAACATTATACATGAATCGACAACTGTTAATGACTCTCGTCGACGAAAGTATTGTAAGAGTTCTCCGTGTAATCTAGATGAAGGCCATTTATTGAGTATGCAATGGCGAACAATCTTTAATACATTATCCTTCTTGCTGGCCTCTTTAATGGCTTCAAATGTGACCGGGAGTCCGGAAACTGCGTCTGACAATATTTTGTGAACCTCGGCCTCGACATCTATAGCAGCTACAAGCACCTCTTCTTCTTGTTTTTCATGCAGACCAATCAATCTTGAGAGTGCATCTGCCTGTCCGAAATCCGTTGTTGGTTGATACTTTATCTTAAAATCATAACCCAGCAGTGTGGTAGCCCATCTCTGTAGCCGGTTTGCTGTATATACCGGGATGCCTTTTTTAGATCCAAAAACTGTCAGTAAAGGTTTATGGTCTGTAAGTAAGGTGAACTGCCTACCAAACAACATCTTGTGGAACTTTTTTACAGCAAATATAATCGCGAGGGCTTCCTTCTCTATTTGACTGTAGTTTCTTTCAGTCATAGTCAGTGATCTCGCAGCGTGAGCGATTGCTTTCTCAGAACCGTCAGGGTAGGCATGTGAAATTACTGCTCCAATTCCGTAGTTCGACGCATCGGCTGCGACTATAATTGGAAGATCGGGATCATAGTGTGTAAGGAGAAGGTTCGATGACAGAAGCTGCTTCAGTTTTAGGAATGCTTCTTGACATTCAGTTGACCAGAACCATTTAGTATCCTTTTTCAATAAGCAATTAAGAGGAGCACGATGGCGATGCAGATCTGGCAGAAAAACTCCATAATGACTAACCATTCCCAGGAAAGAACGTAAAGTTGACACATCCGTGGGTGGAGGCATGGACTTAATGGCTTCGACATTTTCAGGATCAGGTTTTCTCCCGTTTTTATCAATTATGAATCCCAAATACCGGACTTGCTCCATGTAAAAATCACATTTTTCGGCACGCAGCCTGAATCCATAATCTGCTATGCGTCTGAGAACCGTATCCACCTTATTCTCTAAATCAGCATAGTCTGTACCCATGATCAATATATCATCGAGATAAGCCGCGGTACCAGGAATGTCTTGTAACATAGTGTCCATAACTTGTTGGAAGATTGAAGGGGCGGTCTTTACTCCAAAAGGAAGTCGGTTATATCGGAACAATCCCTTGTGAGTGTTTATTGTCAAGTAATGCTTACACTCATCCGCTACCGGAATCTGTAGATAAGCGTCTGATAGGTCTAATTTCGCAAAATACTTACCCCCATTCAGTTTCGCAAATAAATCCTCTGGTACCGGCAATGGGTATTGATGGGCTTCAAGCGCTTCATTTAATCCAGTTGAATAATCTGCACATAACCGGATACTTCCATTAGGCTTTTTAACAATCACTATTGGAGCTGCCCAATCAGAGAAGTTTACTGGTTCGATTATTCCACTTCTTTGCAGACGCTCTAATTCTTGTTCAACAATAGGTAGCGCTGCATAAGGTACCGGACGTTTTGGTCTGAAGACGGGGGTGACTCCCGGTTTAAGAATCAATAGTGCTTTAACCTTTTTGCATTCCCCCAACTCTTCCATAAACACTTGACTGTGTCTTTCCAATACAACACTCTTCAGATCCTTTTCCACCGGTTTACTGGTTCTCACTGCGCTGCATATGTGGTTAATGGGGTGATTTGCTAATTGAAGTGCTTCTATCAAGTCTAGACCTAGCAAATCTAGTCCTGGATTCTGTGTAAGATATAAAGTTGCATTCGTTTTCGCATTTCCTTTCGAGACTGTACAACAAACCTCTCCAACAATATTTAGTTTTCCTCCAGATGCGCTGTGAGCTAACTGGGTCGTTGGGAGCACCTGTGGTTTACCGATAAGATTCCAAGTTCTCCGACTAATAAGTGTGATGTCAGAAGCGGTGTCGAGTTGCAGGCGGGCACGCTTTTTATTTATATCCAAGTTACATACTTTCTTTGGCGGCAAAATCGTGCTCGATTATGTGATACCAATATTTTGTTAGTTCGAGCACTAAATCTGTATTTCTTCGAGTAGGGTTTCAAAGAATGTCGTTTATGGGTTCTTTTTCTGCAGCAGTTTTCTTTATGTCCCTTGCGATGACACTTGCTACAACAATGTTCTTTATATGGGCAGAACCTTTTATAATGCCAACCACCGCAAGACCAACATGGAGATGAAGGCTGATTATCTGTGTGCGATACCTTTCTTGAGCGAGAATCGTTCTTTCCGCTTACAGCACGAACGTATGGCAACTGGCCATTATTTTCGACCATCGAAGTGTCATGCTTTAGGTTTACCAATCTCTGGCACTCTGCGGTTACTTCTTGTAGTGTCATATTCGGACATTGTTCAATTTTACTCAAAATTCTAGTTCTAATATCGGCATCTTCGGGAGATTGGAGGCTGCACACAAATACGAGACACTTAAACTGGTCTTCTGTCATTGCTGATAGTTTGAAGCGCTCACATTCACGGTTTACTAGACCCGCATGCTTCACCCAGTCATCATCACCTGCTTTTGTCATCTTGAGACATTGATAACGAATATTAAACAAGGATGACTGTTCAGCAAAGATTTGCGACAAAATTTCAATCGTTGCATCGAAAGAAAAATCTCTTGGATTCTTTGGAAGGATAAAGTTACTGTAACGTTCATGTTCAACAGTTCCAAGTTTTCGCAAGAGTATTCTGACCTTAGCGGCGTCATCAAGTTTTTTGAGGTCGACCTTGAACAAATCTTCATATTTCTTGAACCAAGTTTCAAAAGTAATGCCAGCTGAACCATCAAAATTAAATTCATGGATAGAATTAACAATCTGGTCAACATGAGATTTGAAGGGATCATCTGTAACTTCTTTTTGATCCAGGTTCATTTTCTGAGTTAGCATCTCTAGCATGCGCATCTGGAACTTTTCTTGACGTTCCAATAAGGCTTCAAATTGTTCCAAGGTAAATGACATATTGATACAATAACCCGTCGCCAGATGTTATATCTTGAAAAAGCTGATTTTCTTGATACAACCGCGTATAACTGAGCACTGGAACACCAAACCCTTCCAAGTCGCAATAAGAAGACAGAAGACTAACGAAAGGAATATTATTCCAAACAGTGTCAAACATAGTACAAAATTATCAGGTATTTATAGTTTTTAGTGGGAACGAAATCATCATTACAATCTTCCAATCCGCGTACAGAGGGTTATTAGCATTATCCAATGGGGAAGCTACACGTTGGAATTCTAGAACATTCTTCCGACAGGTGATTGGATGGAACGTCTTCGGCTCCTTATGAGCCTCTTACAGCTTCCTCGAGTTCACCGGTGGTCCGTCGTCACATGAAGGAATATTGTGCCGTCTATAACGATTTCGTTGAATACATATAAGTTTGCAAATCTGTCAACAATCTAGTTCCTTTCTCCCAGTCTATTTCGTCCCACAATACCTTCATACCCGGCGTTGTCCGTTCCGACTTTGAGGTTTAGGTCTCCCATAAGGATAGTCAGGTCCTTTCTTGAGCACCTCGCTATGATCGTTTGCAGCCTCTCGTAAAACAGATCTTTGTCGTCTTCATTGTTAGGATTGGTAGGTGAATAATATTGGATAACATTCATTGTGATTCCCTTCTTCTTTGTTTCGATTGATGTTTTGATGATTCTGGATCCATGAGATTCCCGTCCTATAAGTACATTTAGTGCTTCTTTGGACAGCATCAGAGCAACTCACTAAGTTTGTGGAGCACTTTCTTCTTTGTGACTCGAGTAAAACAGCATCTCTCTCGAATTTATCCTTTTCCGTCCAGCTTGGGTTCAATGGGTTTTACTTATTCCAAGAACCGCCAAGTTGTATCCCCTCATTTCCGTTGCCGTTTGACTGGTCCTCTCGGTCTCCCACATTTTCCAGTCATTCCATGTATCTATATTAATTGTTGCTCTAGTTGTTACAACGGACGAGCGTATAAATAAGAATATCAAAGTGTAGCCTAAGTTTAATTTTTAAGTTGGTGTGCTCGGAAGCTAGAATACGCTATATGGGCTCGATGTAACGACTGACACCACAGGTTTCCTTACCTCTTTGAAGAACCGTCTTCTGTGTGGGCTTGGCACTGACATTAACGTCAAAAGCGCTTCAGGCGGAATTCACTACTGATATGTCACTTTTGTTTTAAATGTTTGCCTTTATCTTATAATTTCTTTATATTGTAATAGTCGCTATAATTTTTCTTTACTGTTCATTTCATAATACTTTGTCGTGGCAGAAAACTAAAAGAGCTCATTAAGTTTTATTCGACCAATGTGAATCTGGAGCTGCAACAGCGTTCTGTTGAATACAGCAAAATTTGCTCGCAACCTATAAGTATTCGTAGTGGTTTGCTTGATTGTATGCCAGTACTACCAACAAATGCTTTGTCTGGGACTTCGAATCCAGATAACCTGAGTCGTGGAATTAATGAAGGTGATGGTGTCGAAACGGAAGAAGGTAACATAGGAGCTGCAAAAACTCTGTCACTTAATGGCTCAACTAATCAGTCTCAGTCGCTTACCATTTTCGATTTATTGGGTCCAGAAAGCGAATCGGATTCTCACATGAGTAAGCACTATATTTTATTTCCTATAAGTGATATTTTCAGTGAAAATTACTTCTCAAGTGTATGTTTAAATCTATTTATCTCATAAATAAATTTGATCATTATCCGCTACTTATGTGCTCGTTATTGAGCCAAAGTTCTATGAATCTATTATTTTCCATTTTTTATGTCAGTCTACTCTTTCTTCTTTGGAAACTTGTTGGATTATCATTTCTGCATCAAGTTTTAATTTCATAGTTCAGGCATAAAACAGAATCTCAGGATGAACAGATAGAATTTCACTCCTTTTGATGACCTACTTGTGCTTCGTTCATCTTTTATTGTAATAGCTCAAAACGCAACCACGAATCATTCTGATACTGGGACTAATTTACTAGATCTTCTTGATGTATTTGCTCCATCTGAAATGACAGTGTCTAGCAATACTCAAAATGCAACAGGATTTTCAAGTGATTTATTTGGCACTAAAAATGGTTTTGGTGCCCCTATTATTCAGCCTGCTCCTCAGCCTTCTGTCTTGGATTTCAACTTTGTCAATGATTCTGGGCCAGGTTTGACAAATCAAGGTCAGTTAACCTATTTTTTTCTTTTGTTTCATAATTGTCAATGACCATTAATTATCCTACCTACCTATATCCTGGTAGGAAATTTTTTGGTAGGTTTAAAAAAATTGATTACTACGGTTGCTCCTACCACCTGCAGAGCTTAAGGGGGAAACTTCTCCAGTTTATTTTTTGAATATCTGGTTTTGAAATTCTAGATCGCCGAGTTTTAGACATTTTCGTCTGCTCCGAAAACCGAGATGTATATTATATTCAACGTAAGATATTTCCAACATCTTCCTTTCATCCTTTAGAGAGCTACATTTTTGGAGATGCTTGTTATCTTTGAGAAACACCTTATTATCTCCACATTTCAGTATGATCTTCAGTAAATCTTCATTTCGGTCCAGTATTTCGCAACTCTTGGTCTTACAGTTGTCCAAGAATCAGGGGTTATCTCGACTTTGCGACTATCTAATGCATTTATTCAAACGAAAAATTAAGTTTTTGTAGTTTGATTAAAAATTATATTTCTTTGTTCAACTACACAAAAATCATTCGACCTAAGTTAATGGTTCTGCGGGCATCTTAATTTATTACGATAGTTAACTGGTATGAATATTCCATAGGCCTACTAGTCTTGTATTTTTCAAAGGTGGAATGGAATTTAGGCACGAACTAGTGATTTGACTACATTTTCCAGTCCATCTACGCGGTTATTACTGGAGAATTTACTCCATTATGAACACCTTAACAGGGTTTCCAGGAAGTCCCACTCTTCACATTTTTGGTCCCGATAGTAGGTAGTTTTTTGTAAGGGAAGGGTATTTTTAGGGTTGATAATAATTAAGGGAGAATCGACAATCATTTTATGTTGAGATGTGACCAATAGTTTATGTCTAGTGTATTTACGAATTCTTCATCACTGGACTAACCTATACCAATAGTCCAAATTATATCTCAGTATTTGATGTCTCCTCTAATGACTTTCACAGCAAAATTCTAAACAGAAGCATGTGTAAATGCATTAGGAATGAAATCGTTCGCAGTAATCAGAGTGTCTAGATCTCTATATACACAACCCATAGTGTACTGTGGCTCGTGAGGTTTACCGAGAAGCAAACTGATTTTATTAGTGTTGGGAACACTTCAACTTTACTAGTTCGACAATTCAGTGCGTATAATAGACAGCCACCTCTACTTTTATGTTCCGTATTGCATCAAAATAGTAGGTAGCTCTGAATATTTAATCCTGAATCAGAAATAGAAAGACCCCATTATTCCGTAACAATTACAAAACATGATATGGCTAATAAAACTTTAGTTTTTAAGATCTCAATTTTATTGAAAATTAAATGTGCATTAATAAGTAATAAGTTTAGGAAGTGTGAAGTTTCAAAAACCGATATGTTCTTATTATTAATGGCTTTATTCAATATTATATTTTGGTACAATATAGAATTCTCAGCACAGGGTTTACGGCGGCCTGGTTGAATATCTGAGCTACCTGTTTCTGCTATCTCATCATTTCAACAAGTTATCTGTTTTTTTTCACTTGTTTTAACGTCTCATTATGTCCATTAATCGCATAACCTATACAGGCGCGTTTATGAAAAGCCTACGACCTTTCGCTGCACAAGTTACAAAAAAGTACTATAAAAGACATCGTGGTGGTTGGCAATATGCGTTAAAGAGAATAAACATTAATCGTATGTCGATTCCCGAGCTGCTAAATTCTAACTGCCGATCACTAATCAACAAAGTGGACTATCTTCAATTCCTACTAAGTCAAAATATGTATCGTAATTGTGGTGTCATCACAATTCAAGAAACTTGGTTGAATGATTTACAGGACGACTGCCGAGTATCACTACGTGATTTTAAAATTTATCGTCAGGATCGATCAAACAATAAAAATAGGTGTGGCGGCGGTGTTGCTACTTATGTAATCGTGAACTGGTGTCGATCTTCGTTTGTGTGTTTCAAGTTTTCAAATGACCTTATCGACTGTCTAACTTTAAGATGTCGTCCAAAACATCTGAGTAAATACAAAGATGTTTATGTTACCATTATCTACGTGTCTCCAGACTGCACATCATCTGCGCTATCTGTTTTCGCTGGTGAATTCACTGAGTTTCACTGTTACTTTCTTCAGTGATTCACTTTCAGTTGTATGTAGCTTCCTTACGTCACTAGGTCATCAAAATGTAGTGGATTTTCCTACTCGTTTGGATGCTCATTTAGACTTCGTTTTCATTAATGGTGTGGGTATATATGTGACTCGTAAACATGCTCCATTGTCTAGCTCGGATCACTGTATAATTCGTGTTCTACCTAAAGTATATGGAAAGCATGGGAAGAGTACACTCTTACATCAAACCAAGAAAGTCGAATATTGGAATTACTCAGAAGAAAACATTCAAAATCTGCAAAACATGTTTCATGCGACTAGCTGGGAATTATTTACAGATGACTCACTGGAAATCACTACTGATGTTATCATGTGTTACCTTAAATTCTGTTTTGATATTTGTTGTCCCACTGAAACCATTTTTGTAAGTTTTGATCGACTTACATCTACACAACTAAAACGACTACGGAGGGTGAAAGAAAAAATGTACAAGGAGAAAAACTCTAGTGAAGTTCGTAAGCTAAATGGTCTGAAAAACCTAGAGATTAGACGTCTGAACTCTATGTTTACTCAAAAACTCTTCAAGTATGTGGAAACTCTTTAAAGAAATTACAGGTGACAGACAGATTAGGAGAGATAACCAGCTGAATGTTTGTGACTTAAATAAGTCTTTTGTACGTCAGTCATCTGATGTAATGCTCCCTTCATCCACAGGTTTAAAGAATAGCTGTGTTCCTAGTTTCACTGAAATTTATACCCGAAGATGTCTCCAGTCACTTAATTCATCCCGATGTTTAGGACCTGATGGTGTTCCAAACCTTTTTAAAAAATGTGCTGACGTCCTATGTTATCTATGCATGACTATCTTTAACAGATCCTTCTCATCTAATCTCATACCGAAGATGTGGAGAAAGATGAAGATAATCCTTGTACCCAAGAAAGTATCCGGTGATATGAATGTGAAATTTAGACCTATTGCAATAACTTTACCCTTCCTCGAAACAATGGAAAATTTATTAATACTTCCACTTGAGCCTGCGATAAAAGAGCATATTGATCCGTATCAGTTTGCCTACAGATGCAAAAAAAGCACCTTAGATGCTGTTGCTGTTCTGCATCACAACATAGTGTTCAACTTAGAAAACGGTAAGAAGTATGTTCGATATGCTTTTCTGGACTATACTTCAGCTTTTGATTCTATACCAAGACAACGTTTAATTAACAAGTTAATCAACGTCAACACTGACAGCTAGATAACCAACTGGTTATGTTCCTACCTCTCTGGAAGGGAACAGTACACTGTGTTTGGAGGAAAGAGTTCAGAGTCTCTACTGTCTCAGGAAGGTGTACCACAAGGAACTGTTCTTTAACCTCTTCTATTCTCTTTTTTTCTGCATGACCTGCCATCTTCCACAGAAAACACTTTTATGAAGTATGCGGATGATCTCACTGTATGTATGCCTATATCTTCCTCTTTACATCCCATAGAAATGAATGAGTTTTTGTCTCGTATTGATTGTTGGTCTGTTGGTAATGGTCTCATACTTAATCCGTCTAAATGTCAAGCTGTTAACTTTAGCATGAGATATGAACGGCCTCTAAACACCATTTTGAGATCCCATAATGCTTGTGCCGTTAGAGACTCGTTGATAAACAGTGTCAAAGGTCAATTATCTTGGTGTTACCTTTTCCTCTGATCTCTCTTGGTCTTCTCACGTTTTACTGTTATCGAAGAAAGTTTTCCGTCTGACTTGCTACATAAAGAGATTGCATGCTCTTGGGATTATTCTTCCTTTACTCTTACAATTTGTCAATTCTTGCATATTACCTTTTATTCTTTACTGTTCTCTATTATTTTTTCCCGGGCTCTTGAGAAAAGACTTTGCTGTATTGCGGAGAGTGCTGAAGTCAGTTAGCATGGTGTGTGGTGAATCTTTCGAGGTCATAATTAATATGGTTGTGGATAGACATCTAAAATCATGCCAACTCCTGGCAGGTGTTATCTTATCAGATATTAATCATCCCCTTCACTCATTTTTTTCTCCTTATATATCTTCTGGTAGAACGAAACGTAATTATATTAAAATCCATGCACGCAAGCAAAAGTATAAAAGTTCTATGATACCTTACCTAGCAAATATACTCTGTGACGAACAGGTTGTTAGAGTTAACCTAGTCAATAACCTGCGTTCTTAACATGTCTCTAATTTGAAAAGTTGTACAGTTTTTCAGATTTTTAAAACCCTTTTTTGTGTAACAAACTTGTTGAAACACCCTGTGCTGAGAATTATATATTGTACCAAAATATAATATTGAATAAATCCATAATAATAATAATAATTTATCATTTGGTTTTATATTAACGTTACTGGTTGAATATTTCATTCTAATACCATTAATTATGAGGATATTACAGAAAACAGTGTACACATTTATGAGTTGATTTATTTAATGTATGACTCATTTCCTCATTCATATTATAAACATAATTCACTCACTGATAAGAAGCCATAGACATTGCAGATAGGTGTGAATGATATCTCATTACCCATTGTTTGGTTCCATGATATATTTTAAGTTACAGTAATAAATTATCAGGCTTAAATTTACTTTGTTGAGATGAGATCCATTTTAATATAAATTTCGTTTGTAACCAATCACTCTTTGCGGTTTAAGTACATGTTTACTTTCTTAAGTAAATCCTAACCAGGAAAATCTCTTGCAACAGCTGGATAGGCAGCCCGAAAGTGTGAGTAAACAACTGCGGAAGACTTTCTTCGAATTGAGTGGCCAAGATACATTACTTAATCAATTTTTTCCGAAAATTTACTGGATTTCAAGAAAAATGAACGAATTAAAATATACTTAATAAGTAATAGTGTTTATTGATTTAATTCTGTTATGAAGTTTTTTCATTCAGTGCTTTCATGAACTGGCCCTGTTATATCCTTATCTTATACGATTACCGCGAATACGTCTGCCAAATTTAGATACGCGGACTTATACGACCAACAGATGACGCATGCACCTGAACGAGAGGCCTAGAGTCCCGATTGTCCTTTTCCCCTGTCTGTTCAGTCCAAAACGCCAATATCAGCCACGGCGACTGCAACTGGATGAAAATAAACTCTAAACAAGTTTTGGCATGGGCACTTTACGTATTTTTGGTACGACGGATATATTGGCACTAGTTGTGCAAAAGATTAGCTGCGTTCAGTATCGAGTACCCAACGGAATTAAGTGGGAACGGGTACTAGGAATATACTTAATAGTCACAATATTTCTGAAGATCACTCGTTTATTAACTTTTAGCTATAAGTTTAGTAACGAATTCAGCTTTAATCATATCCTCAAGACATCATTGTGTTAAAATTTCATTTTGCAACGTATATCGCTTAGTTTCTTTCAGAGTTTTAACAAACTGACCAATTGTTCCCCGAATACACAGTCAGTAAATTATTCTATAAAAGGGAAAATCAAATAACTAACTGGATACTGAGTGAGTTGATACAATTGGAAATAAACTAAGAATAAATGAACAAAATTCACTGTGAATTAATCGTTACAATCAAAATGCACTCCAAGTTAACTAGAAGAAAATCGCTTAAAACCGATATACGAATTTTCAGATTGCTTTCCTTCCTCATGTACTTAGGAATATAGCATCCGCATCATCCATTGTTTTAATTCTGTTGTAATTCCTTAGATTTGTATATTGTTACGTATTTACTCTTCGTTTTATTTCAGTTTGTCAAGATAGGTGTCATGAATACAACAGTAAATAGTTTCATTTTCTTAATTTTATCCGTTCTTATAGTGTAATATTATTACTTTTGGTGTGGGTTACAATTTTTTTTACAGAATAGTTGACAGTTTGTAATCTCCATTCAATTTCTACAATAATTTCTTAATTTAGTCCCGTCAGTTCCTTCCATCACGATATACAATTCGAATGAGATAAGAATTGTATTCAACTTCGTGCCTTCCGCTGTATTAGATGGTCATTTTAACATAATTACTATCCAGTTAGTGGCAACTACTACGAGTCTTCAGCCAATTGATTCTTTTGAATTCCAGGCTGCTGTGCCCAAATCTTGCCAGTTACAGCTTTTTCCACCATCATCTAGTTCTATTCCATGTGGCCCTAACTCTACTCCACTAACACAAGTGTTGAAGCTTAGCGTTCCACCGAAGGTAAACTGGGTTGCTTTATATCCATTTTCGTTTTTCCGCAAGCTTCTTTATTTTTTAGCGTTTGCCAGCTATTTCAGTGAAATGTGACAGAATTCGTTTCTCGTTTTTGATTCATATCGAATATATCAGTTTTGCCCTGTGTTTGTCATTCCTTAATGAAAATTAAGTTATCTGTTGGAACTTATTATTATTCCTGAAATTATGAGAAATTTGTTTGACATATTCGATTTGATTTGATTTACAATTCGTCGTCGTTGGCTAGATATAATCATAAGGTGGATTTTCTTTCCAGCGTTCGTTAATTCATCAGAAGCTCTTCAGATACTCTTTTTTGTCTTATTGTTATGTTAAGTGAAACTACTTTTTTTTAACTCAGTCATCAGGTAATTGGTATGGACCACACTCTATATGTGAAGCCTGATGATACTACCCGGATGTCAAAACAGAAGCAGGCTGAGAGTGGTTCGAACGTGGGCCTTAGTGATTTAAAGTCGAACACCTTAAGCATCAACCAACCGCTCTCCTAAATATGTTAGTAACCGAATCGTTCTCTGTTTAGGTTTTTATGCGATATCGATAACTTACATTAACAGCTTATAAAGAGCGTAGTGTAATAACAATTCTATATTCTATTGAACAGACTCAAATGTCGTAGTTGATTTCAAGCGAATAAGAATATAATTATAGTTTTTTCCTAAAGTGGTTTTTTCTGTTTTCCCTTACTATCATGCTCTGGATCAACCTTTATTAATAAAAAGAAATGTATATCATTTACCAACAGTCTTTAGTTGTATACAGTTATCAAGCTGCGTGTTTAAATGAAACTGTTCCAGCTTCATAATTCTGTTGATTAGTTTCTCATTATTCTAAGGCTTATGGTGCATATGTGTGTTCGTACATGTGTAGAGGATAATGGTATTCAAAATTGTTTTCATACGCTACTGAATTAATTTCCTCTTACGAACATGTGGCTGTTAGCTGTCAATTGAAGTGTACTATCGTAGTGAACGGGAACACAAATGGGAACAATCGAATATATTTGAATATAAAATTACAAAATATCTTAATAAAATCTGAGAATCATGCAGTAAATACTTCATTTGCAAAATGTCAATTAATCGTCTCAGATTTCATTGTTGCTTCGTTTCCACACCAATCATTCTTTGTTCTCGTTCTCTTCTTAACCTTCTTCCTCCAAGCATTTTACTTTCGGTTGGTGATACATACTACTTATATCTGTCGACATCATTAGCACACACCACATTATTACTCATTTTGCATTTAATTGGTTTGAAAAGAAACTAACTGACTTCACTTACGGTGATTTTTTATATCTAGGTACGTCCACGTATGAAGATTCGTTTGCAGTTTGTCAAAAACGGTGAGACAAAAACGGACGAGTTTCAACTCGACGAGTTCCCACAAGTATTGTGGCAGTAACATTTGGAGAATTCTCTATGAACTAAACAAAACCATTCATGAACCCTCAAGTCTAACCCAAAATAAATGGGGAGTTAATCTTATTCTGGCTGTGCTTAATCGTGTATTTCTGCGAAAATAATTAATATGTTGTTTTTTGTTTGTATAGAATGTTATGTGTACCCAAGACTGTTTATTGAAACTGCCACAGTGCCTCTATTGTTTCTTGTTATCAATTTTCCACCAGCTCCACATCCTAATATCATGTAACTCGAATTTTCGCATATCGTTCCGGCAAGAGTAACAAATAAACCCGATATGCAGATTTTCACTGTCTTGCTACTACTGATCTTGGGATAAATTTGATTTCTTTTATCTTTGATACACTTAATTTTTGTTTATGTCAAAATCTCATGTTTTTGCATCTTATTTGTCTGTTTCATCATGTTTAATGGTTTCTTTTGTATCAGAAGTATTTTATTTTAGCTGACAGTTACAGGTGTGCGTACAATTAATATTTCAACATTCCGACTGTTTTCATGACCAGATGTAACAGACTATTCCTTTGGGTAAAATAAAGATTGACTGATCGACTACTTTTCTGAAAAGTATCAGTTTGAATCGGAATTCATTGTCAGTAACTCTCATGAATTCTATTGTGTTTGCTGAAAAAACTTTCCATGTTGAATCAGACTTTCTTTTATGCACGAATAATATTTTGAATTCTCCGTATTATAGTCTTGTTTTTTCTGTGATGCAATTATTCTGTTCATTATTTTACAATTAATTGGTTTAAAACGGTATATTATTGTGAAACGTAAAGTTCAATATAGGTGTTCATTCAGTTTTTTCAATTATATTGTTTGCAAGGGATTACACCTTGTAGTTATTAGTTTATGGATTTTACTTGAGTTATATTAACCAAAGAATTTAAAGTAATCATTCAACATTGAACACATCTATGGATATTTACATCTAGAACGTTAGTCAGATGTGTTTAAATGGTTTTAAGAAACAAATTTTTTACGTGATGAAAGAATATTGGACTGTTGAAATAGTATTGTTATTCTGTCTTAATTTTTGAGTAACCTTTTTATTAACTCGTTGTAGTCTAGACTGTGAGTCAATGACTTCTTCACTTTTAGATTTTAGAACTGTTTTTTTTCGAGTAAAGACAGTATAATTTAGTTTGATTAAGTTAAGAACTCAAAAGTGTGCTATTAAATAGTGAACAATTATATTCACGTTCACTTCGTAGCTCTGTAACACTCAAAGTTTACACTAAATCAGTTTGAACAGTCAACGCATGAGAAGAGATTATAATTTTTGTATTTCTAAGCAAATAGATCCATTATGACTACTTATAATAAAACTTCATTTATGGTCTTCTAAATTGCTGAGTCGTACCATCTAGAGAACCCCGATTGGAGAGTGTTAAGGATCATAATTTTAAATGTTCGGGGGTTTACCGAATGATCGACGTCAGATTATTTTGCAATCTTTGTGGTAAATAATGTTAATTCATGTTCATACAATATAGCGTCCATATCATTCTTCTAAAAGACCGATAAATGAATTGAGTGGAAATCGGAATATTATGTTAACTAGATATATATTTAAATTGTCAAACTAATTGATATGGATAAAAATAATGAACAAAATTGACGTCAAATGGATGAACACTGAAACAAATTGAAGTGGTAGTAATATTATATCAACACCAGAATTTAACCTATCTTTAATTGCACTAGAACTATAATTACACTGGTACAAGAGTATTCTGAAATTGTATTATATCAACTGCATCTGAATTGAAATTAAACTAGGTACAGTATAGAAATCTGTTCAAAGTATCTCAAATGTTAAAAGAATAAAATATAATAATGTACAGGCAGACAAAGATATACTAGTAAAATGTACAAGTAGAGATTTTAAAATAACCGTACAACGTGAAATAAAACAATGGAATTCACATAATATATTAAATTATCATATATGATCTTACTTAGAAATCAGTATAGAGTGTTATGAATTTGCCATGCTTTTATATTATTAACAACAATAACCTCATTTCCAGAAGGTTAAGAACCTCTACAAATAATCGGAAAATTGAGACCGATCAACATTTTAGCATTTTCAATTCTCGAGCAGTAAAATCGTGGTAAAACAAAATAAAGATAATATTACGTTCGAATTTTCATTTGCCACAGACAAATAGAAACCAATAGGTTTGAAAATCATTTTATGCATCATATGAGATTGGTTGATCAAAATGATGCAGTGTGACATTGTTCAGGATAAATTCAAATACTCGACCGTAATGAAATAACCTGCGTCACTCAAAAAACAAAATTACACAAGTGAAATTAGAAAATAAAGGGAGAGTCAGATAAAATTATGAAGCATAATTAGGCTTACAAGTTGGTCACTACGTGAGGCATGTCAAAGCAATTCGTGAGCTCCTAGACTATCAACCGAAAAATTTTGTAAGGTGTCCTTTGATGTAACAAATACTGAATAAACATGGTCAAATTGGATAGTATATTACGAAACGAGTGGCGATTATCAACTCCTATTAGGTGATCGTCACTGTTCAATTTCTTACTCAGATTCACGTATATGTTTGATTAGGTTACTGATAGAACTACAGGACCTGTGCATATTCTATAAAGTTTATTAAACAATGTATTCGTCACTGCGTGGTTGCCAAATTACCTTTATTCAGTAATGGCTAGGTTAACGGATCGATCCATTCAGCAAAGAATTGTATTTCACAGAAAAATCCAGGTCATCATGAGTAGAAAATGAACTATGTGGCTTGAATGAACTTAACTCTTTCTGTCGTCTGAGCGATTATCCAGTGGACGTATTGGGATAACTATGATAGGGAAACGATATGCTACGTCTCATTGAACTGATGAACGAATCTAAGTTAGACTATCATTTACAATATGAAGGCACTGAACGGCGGTTCATTCCTAATAGCGTAATCAGCAGTAAGAATCTACTGACTCGCGCGCGGTTATCAAACCCAGGAATTTTGATCTCATGTGCAAACGCTTAAACTCTAGATTACTGAGTTGGGATCTAACTGTGTTATTCTCTAACTTTAATCAATCCGCCACCATCTAAATTTGCTCTACTTGATTTGAGTGAAATTCAACAATCTTCACTTCCCTTTAAAGACAATCTACTGTGTAACTGGAATGCGTTTACTTCAGCAATAGCCTTTTGACTGGAAGTTAAAATATCATACCTGATGCATGAACCCTGAATATCTATTTCTTACTGTTAATGAATAATGTATTCATTGACCAAGAAATGACTAGTCAAATAAATTATTGCGCAAGTCCAGTTCCAAAGTCGACCAACCTAATGTACAACGGTCTCTCGAGAAATTCATCCAATTACTTAGTAAGTTCATTTTGCTGTGACATAGGTAAAAATACATATTTGACTAATTTCCAATCTGCAATATTTGATAATTCGCTTGTTGTTGCCCGTTAATATCAACACTAAACTCACTTGTTTTCCATCCATTACAGGTGTTTACTAAAAAATAATCTAGACTTCTAAACATCCACTCCTTGTTTCCGGATTTCATCCACCCTTGACTTTACAATATCCGCTAAACTAAGTGTCACACTACTTGTTATCTCATATCCTGTTTTATCATGTTTGCCTTCTGAATTCTCTTCATGTCTCTACTTCCTGTTTCATAGGTTTGTTTCTTTGTAACCTCAAATTTATTCGTTTGTTATGTTTTAATTGAGCTAATAGACTGAGAGAGAGAGAGAGAGAGATACAGAGATGCATCCCTAACGAAACATGTGCGTATAAACATTTTACGGTAAATAATTTATTTAATTTGAATACGTATCTTGATTGGATGAGGTTCATTTGTGGTGTTAGAAATCGGAGATGATTTCATCTTGATGCTTCGTACTGAATCCGAAAACAAATACTATGTTGAACCAGGAGGGTTGTTATACTCACAGCACCTAAAAACTTTTATCGACTTAAACAGACTGTGAAGATTAATGTCATGTTTTAAGAGGCGGATTATTTGGCAAAAAAATGATCAACGACAATACTGTCTTTGAAGTTGTGAGAATATAATTGTATTGTCGTTCTTTTAGGTGTTCAGCAGAATGATAAATAATGGAAGATTACAAACTGAACAATACAAAATTGTACGACTTACATAATTAATATTGAATTGAAATAGAATTCTTCTTCTTCTTCTTATTATTATTATTATTATTGTTTACATGAGAAAAATTATCTTCTTACAATGTTTGAAATAATGAATTACTTTCACTAGCTCATTAAAATTTACTCGGTTAGTTGATCAGTTGTGATCTAAAAGTTACAATATCAGGAAAAATGATTCCATGTATACATGTAGAAATACACCACAGAAATAATCATTCACTACAGAACTGCTGTTAAAAACAGAACAACGAAATTGTTAATAACAATAAAAAATATATATAAAATTGATAAATCAGTATATAATCACTTCATTTACAACAGGACCTATATGAATGACGTTCAACTGATGTATTACAATCCGTTGTCACTCATATCTCTGAAAATGGATGGTGTAAGATAATAAATGCCATCAAACTTGTTAAAATATTTAGTCAGGATTAATGTGAATATAACTGAGTTCATTAAAATACCAGATTTATCCTTGTAAGCGAGTATATTTTAATACAACGAGTATAATTACTATCGATCGATACAAGTTAGAACGCCGTTAACATATTAACCAAGTAAAATTGAAAATACACTCGTTTAATTTCCTTCAGTTCTCATCTTAAATGGAATTTGAAGATACCTAAAAACGAAGAACTTACATTAATTCGCCATTTCAGAAAACATGTAAAAATAAAATATCAGAGCAATCAAAAACAGATGATCTAATATTCCCACACTAAACTTCGTTTAAGTTTAATTTGAGTTGAAGCCGAAAATTACGCTTATTCTGATCTATGAAAAGTTACGAACGTTTGTAT